GTGGGAACCGTGGGAACAAGTCATTCCAACGCGGGAGCCCGCGTGATGCTCTGCTTCCGTGGCCGCTGCCCTGGCACAAGATCCGCTGCGTCAGCCGAAAGTAAAAGGCGCCATTGGCGAGCTGTCAAGCACGTGCCTGGCACAGCCCAATCTCTCAATGTCCAAAGCACTTGAAGTGGAATGATGATCAACAAACAATGGTTTCCCATGGCTTCAAAGTGGTGCAGGATTTCGTCCATCCACATTGGAGACCTTCCATTGGTATCACAAGTGGGTACGTCCCACAACTTGAGAAACACGGCTTCAGTCGGGCTTCTCTGTGACAGGCCTTTGGCTTTACAAACCAAGTGCCAGAACTTCTCGGGCCGGACGTGAAACCAGAAACCCGTGGCCTTCAGACTCACGTCTGGCAGTTTTAAGATAAACAGCCTACTCTTTATATTAATGTTAAAAGTATCCAGAGTTGGGCCAAGTGCACTAATACCAGAACACAAAATACACTTTAACATCTTATGACTTCTCGTTTTCTGCTTTGCGTGGGAAGCGCCTCCTTCCGAAGCATCGACTCCTCGGCCAAGGACTCGGCAAGGCCTCGGACGCGAGACTCCGGCTGGAAACACATCCCATGTCTCGACGGGTGGCGAAAAAGCATTTCGCACCAAGGGAAGCCAAGGGAATGATTCAACGATGCGTTAATCATACTTACTGTTGAATATTAATAACATCTTATTTGTTTATTGTATTTGTTTTAAATGATATGCAAATTATGGTTGTTGAAATTCCCCAACGGCAAATATCCCAACAGCCAATGGCTTCAATGGATTCATTTCAAGGTGCGAAATGGACTTCGCAGCCAGTGAAATCCCAAGCGAGGACACCTCAAGAGGCCCTTTCAGGTTCCAAGCGCCAGAAAGTAGATTGCCCCCAAAGGACCACCTGGCGACAGTTTTCCAACCCACGGAAAATCCAACCATCCAGAGGAGGGCAAGGCAAGCTGCAAAGGGCCATGCTCGGGGGACTTAGCGGCAGATCTTGGAGGGAGGTTGGAAACAGCAGAAATAATCTGTATTGCTGTCATCGAAGGCTGAATCATGATGCAAGGCAGGAATGAAAGGAATTCTTGCAACATAATTCTAGCATGGGTAGCATGGGTAGCCGTCCCTAGTTTAGTTCTGGTCGGAAATGTTTGCCCAGCTCCAGTCACCCAAATCTTTCTCAAATCTTGGGCACCTAAAATCCTCTTTAACTGCCACAAGCTGGGGTTCACCATTTTTTCTCACCCACAAAGCACAAAGCGAGGCCGAGACTTTCTTGGTAGTTCTTGCACTGAAGCTCGGCCGCGTCCAGCATCTCTGCGCCTACCGATCTCAGCTCCCTGTGCGGTTTGAATTTGGGGAGGGCTCCCCAAAGTAGGCATACACTCATGGGTTTCCCTTTTGGGAGACTACCTTTGACCGATAGAACCCTGTTTGGGGTGTCCTATTGGCCACCCTCTTGGATGCTTGTTGGAGGGAAGCCAAAATGAAACTAACCAAATCTGGCTTTGGGAAGCCTCGCTAAATTGCACCATTTGAGCCCAGCGGCGGTTTTTGACACCAAATGAAGTGTCGACAAACTCGACACCGCTTGCGCCCCGGAAGCTTCCAACCTTGAGTCATGCGCTGTCCATCCTTTTACTCAGTCGTATGGGCCCTTCCGTCACCCACAAAGAAGACAAACTTCCCATGGGATCTCTCACTTAACTATAGTGAGACCCAACAAAGCTAAAAATGAACAGGGAACGCGTTTCATCCGTGGCGGCAAGTTTGGTGTACCTCTACAGGGAATTCCAGACAGGCCAGACGCTGTTCTGCGTTTTTGGCAGCAATACCAAAGCTTGAAATACAGTAAGGGATCCGCCGTCCAACAAGAATAACAGAAATGGCAATAGCAACTTGGTACTGATCATAGTAGTAGTAATAGCAAATTGCTTTTTGCTTTCCTGCTAAAAGTTTGACTTTTAGGGGTTTAATGGGAAAACCCATTCGTTGGCAAAAAGTTAAAGCAACATGCACCTCTGAATAATAGTGATCGAAATAGCAATAGCAAAACCAAGAGAAAATAGTAAAACACATAGTAATCGTAATCGTAGTAATACTAATAATAATACGTAGTCAGCTCCTTCTTCCCCGCAGGCCATAGGAATGCCCGGCGTTTCTTTCTCGACCCCGCCTGCCCTCGCGCTCTGCGCAGCGGCTCCGCGGATGCTGGCCAAGCCTCGGATCCGAGCAACATGAGCCATGAGGGTGACCTAAACTGGAAAATCGATGGGCATAGAACCATAGGAAACCATAGGTAACCATGGACAAATGGGCTGCAACAATAGATAACCATAGGTTTGTCTGGTACATGCATGGCAAACCCATCACCAATGGAGCCCCTTTCTCTTCATTGCCAAGCTAGCCGATCAAAAGGACACCTATGGCCCTTGTTGGTCGGCCGGTCGGTCAGTTGGAAGTCGTCATGGGACTGGATGCTGGCTTTCGGCCGCACCATCTCACTCCAAGTGGAGGCTGCATGCAGGGGTTTCACAGAACCTCTCCGGATAGTCAGTGGTTTGTAATCTTGGCTAGCTGTGCGTAGATCGTAATTTAAGCCCAGGGACTTACAACCAGGGCGAACCACTGAGTAAGATTCGCCTCAACGGTGGCTTTGGTCCTTGGATTCCTCGGTGCCAACAGCTTAAGGTGTGTGTCCACTTTCGTTTGTCGAAGCAGCAACAGCGTGGCGTTGCGTAGGCAATCCAATGGCCAGCTTGGATTTGACGGTGACAGCCACTTTGCGCCAGGCAAGCTCCCTATGCCGTGTCGCTTGATATTCATAGTTCATGCGGGTTATTCATGCATCATCTCAACTCCTCATGCATGAAGCAAACAACTCCGGGCCCGTATGTCACAGTGGACTGGTGCGTCAGCCGGTACCCTACCACAGACTTGGAACATCAACATAGCGCCCAAACCAAAGCGCAGAGCTGCGATATGGGTCCGGACCCTGCCCCTTTTTTTCTGTTCACATTGGGGGACCCAATTCAAGGCCCTGACGGCCCGCCACTGCAGCAGCCTCCAAATTCCAGGACCTATGCTGCGTCCACTTGGTGCGTCCGAAGGTCGGCCCGTTTCGTAGTCTTACCGCGCTCTTTGGATGCAGAGGTCAGGGGAATTTCCCCTTCACAAGCTGCGAGTTATTGGTGGTGTCCATTGAAACTGCCACTTTTGGAGGTTCCAGAAAGGGAAATGGAGGCAACCTGGAATAGGTCCCCAAAAAATGGGAAACGGAGCTTCTGCAACGGGCTGGCCACTTGACGTTCACTCCCACCAATTGCTTCTTGCCCCTTGCTCACATGGTGACAAACGACAAACCAAACAAACACCGCAAACAAGGACACATGACGCAAATTAACGCAACCACAAATCAAACATAGAACCAAACAAGTGTTCCTTCGGGAGAGAGAAACAAGACACCAAACAAAGACGCACTGGCCAAAGCTGAAACAAATGGGCCATGGACTGTCCAACAATGAAAACCTTCGCAATTTTTGCGGCTCAGGTGCCTTTTTCAAGTCCCAGGTCAAGCATTCTGGGACTCAGTTGCCGTTGGATTTCCTCCTGAAACCATTGGAGGATTTTCATGGGCAGATTCCTAGGTCTGCTGGGTTTTGTAGATAGCATTCGGGATATGAATTTCCATACTACTTGTTTGTTTTGTGAAATCTCGAGTCTGTTTTGAAGCAACGGGCTCAGTGGCCCTCAAACAGTTGACTGCAGTAGTTGCGCCAGTCGGCCCCATTGGGAAACTACCAGGTCCCCATGGATGTGCCTAAATAGCGTGAGGGGAATCCCTCAAATGGGTGGTTTTGTTTGGTTTCCCTTTGCAACCGTCCAAAAAGGATTCACGTATTTTGAGACAAACCCAAATGACTGAGTCATTTAGGTTCCCCCGAGAACCCTAGCTGGAAAGGGTAGCATGACAGCCTGTCTCTGAAGCTCCCAGCCTGGCGACGCATTCCTGTTCACCTCAGAACCGAGGCCCGAGGCGTTGGCAGGGAAGGAGAAGTTACAGGCAGAAAGCGCCTTTTGGGGAAAAACAGCCCTTCAGGCTGCCAGAACTACTTAAAGAAAGGATGCGTGGATTTGACAACTTGCGCTCTGCATGATGAGGCAGGGCTAGGAAGTTGCCAAAATGGTGCTTTGGCTCGTCACTCCCCCCTGCACGACACATGTTACTTCGTGCCCCCATGAAACACACCACGCGGGGGACGAGCCTCAGATCATAGGGTCTTCCGCTTGCTCGTGTCGCGGATGTGGTCAATTACACAACTGTCGTTTTGACTTGGATCGCAACCAGGCAAAGTGCAAGCCCCACCAATGAACCCTAATAAAACAACTGAATGGGAGGTCCACCGCTACATGGCCGCTGAAGGTTTATGTACCTCTTGCCCCAAGGGGGCAGTGAGGGTGCTGGGAAGTTCGGCCAAGCTAGTAGGGTCTTGGTACCCCAGGTAATCTACTTATAGGCCCCAGAGAGTTTGTCTCGTATTTGGAACTTCGGTCAGAGCTGGGGGTCAAATAGAGAGTCCGCAAAGAAGTCAAGAAAGACTCAAATCAAGTTAATGGTTCCTGGCCTTTGGTGAGCATCATGGTGTGGATTCATGTCCAGCAACAACTTGCTTGAGGTCCAACTCTTGAAATTCCCAGCCACTGGCTGGGGGGATGCACGGGCTCGGATTTAGCTCCCACTATATTCCCCGCCGAGAGGCGAGCGTCTCGCCTCGCGTCCAGCACGCGTTGCCTTGAGTCAGGTCAAGGCCAATGGATTCCCCCAAAAAAACTCCCCGATCAAAAGATGCGTGAAGATCCAGCAGGGATCACCCACCGAGGTCGGTTTCGAAGAAGGCACTACAATGCGACCTCCCCACGCCAGCTTCCACATCTTAGAATGAAGTATTTGAAACCGCTGAAAAATGTCCACCCACATACCTAGCGACGTTTTCAGCCATAGTGAGCAAACACCACTGCACTGGATGGGTGCTGCGACTGGGACCGTGGTCGGATGAGGCCAACTGATTCCGTCCCTCTCAACCCACCGCCCTTTTAAAACCCGACGCTGCAGAATGGCACAGGCATCACCCTTGGCAACATTTGGTGCGGTCTCCACCGTCCAATAGCCAAAGGACAAAGCAGGAACACCTGTGGAAAATTGCCCCGAAGGCTCAAGCCTCGGCTCCTTTTCATTTGGTGGCTCTTTTTCGTGCTTTGTTTCCGGTGCCCAGGCAGCCGACAGCGGTTCGGGGAAAGGGGGGGTCCATGAAGGGTTTGTTTGTTGCGAGCTCGCCCGGCACGACAACATGCTTGTTTACTTCTGTGGAGGAAGCTCCAAGTCAAGTGTGCTTCCTGTTGGGTGTGGCTCAAAATTAAAGAGTCAGGGGTTGCGCAGGTTTTGCCCAAAGCGGCCATTTTGGGGATCCAAGTTTTTTTGGGGCCACAGCCTGGTGGCCTTCAAAACAATTTCAACGTGCGCCAGGGGGACCGGCCTGGGCATCACACCAACTATTGGGGGCAAGTTGTGGCGCGGGTTTCATTCTGTGGGCAAATGTTCGTTCACGACCTTGTTTTGAGAAGGCTGTGGAAGGGTGATCCTTCACTTTCTGAGTGGTTCTTACCACCAAAATGGTCTTCCAAATTCCCAAGGAGTTCAAAGCCAGAACCTGGACGGGGGGCTAAAAGCGCAAAAAACCGACGTGTGAGACCCTGGGCCTTCTGCACCCCCCCCCACAAGCCGCCGAGCTGCTCTTGTTCCCTCAGCTCCTCCGCCAGGCTCGGCAGGTCACCCAAGTGGCGCCTGAAGACGACGCGCGCCACTGGCATGAGCAAAAAAGTTGGTTCATGGACAGGTTATGTATAGGATACTAAGCCCCCCGGATATGTACCTCTGGTTTTGGTGCATCTTCCATTGAGCAAGCCATGTTGGGGATACCCTATTTTGGACCCACACATGGCAATGGCTTACATGGCTTTTTCTCATGGTCTCTTGTTGGATATCAAGAACGGCCAACCAAAAAACGGGTTCCCCAAAAAAAACGGGCTCTTTCCGGGGAAAGTTGTGCATTGCGCTTGCCCGATGGGAGCTTGGAGGGTCCGTCCCACTTTGCGACCAGTGCATCTGAGATACTTGAGGGCCTTGGCGGCTTATGGGGGACCCAAGGCTTTCTCAGGCCGAGCCTCTTATGACTGCAATTGGCAAGTGGGATAAGTTTTCGATTTGGTTAGGTCTTGTTCCCGATGAAGCACTGCAGAAGCGAAAAGAAGCGCCAAGCTACAGTCATGAGGCCCCAGCACCGCCGTTCGCTGTGATTCGAGTGTAACTCAGGCAAGTGAATGGATAAATACTCATAGACAAATCTGAGCTACACCACAAAACCAAAATACCGCAGGTTCCACTGTAACTCATATCAACAAATCAGGAAAGAATCTGCGCTCAGGGCTAGTTGGCATTCCATGCTAAGGGCTGGATTCCAGGGCTTCAAAGCTCCCCCCGAGCCAGTACGCCCACCAACCTCGCGACCCAAATCCTTCGTTGGTCCTTGAGGGCTTGGAGTGTCTTGTGGATGGTGGCATGGCTGCTTCAGCGATCCCTTCCAAGCAAAGGGGGACAAGTCTTTAATCTCTTGAAGAGGGATCCAGAGATGCCAATAATTGGCCTGCGTTCGGCAAACCCCCAGAAACCTGATGTGATGAGCCGCATCACAAAAGCAACAATTTATTGAGCGGCATGCTTGGACGCTATGACTTTTGTGGGATAACCCACCCATTCCAACTGGAATGGATTTGTCCATCCACAGGTGCTTCATGTTGAAACAGGCGGCATTGGCCCAACTACATCCCACAACCAACTTGGCTTGTGGCGGAGAAAGGCTGCCATCTGCAAGCAAGGATCTGTTCCTCCCACATGGCAGTGATGCTCCGAGCAAAACCGGCGATCTTCCAAGCAACTGTGGTACTTAGCACGATCTGGGCAAGGCAAGTTACTAGAACTCCCAAACTGGAAATATTGGTATGGGTCAAGTCCTTGTTTCCATTTCGGGTGCCTGTTTTTGACCCACACCCACATGGAACCCCCACCAGTAAAGCAACTGGCTCTCTGTTCTTTTTTGTCCAGAGACACGATCCGCGGAAACCCACGGCATACCTTTCACCAATTCTGAGCAGCATCAAGCCTTGGCTAAGGGTTGCCTCTGGTTTGCGAGCAACTGGTCTGCTTTGCCGCTAGCTTGGAATACTTGCTGGCGCTCAGCGGGGAATGCGGGAATGAACCTGGGGATCCCTTAAAGGAAGCCGTAGGGGATGGTTTACAGGGGTCATTCCCTGAGCACCAGCAAGAATAAGCACCATGTGACTTTCACACAGCGTTGCATTGACGTTAAGCCTATAATGGTTCCAACAAGTCGCCACGCTTTGCACTTGGCCGGTTTACCCAGCAAAACGAAAGGGCGGCATGAAGTTTTGTCACTTGTTCCTGTCGGCACCAGCTTTCAACAAGCAACGCACAACCTCCACACACTCGTTTCGACAGCCAAGATGAATGGCTTGGAGCCCTTGTCCTTGTCGGCACCAGCCTCCAGCAAGCAATGCACAGCTTCCACATGGCCGCTTTCACAAGCAGTCCATGGACGTGAAGCCATCGTTGGCGCCCTGTCCCTGTCGGAACCAGCTTGCAACAAACAGCGCACAGCTTCCACATAACCAACAACCTGCAAGGCCGTGCAGCGATAGTAGCTGGCTTTGTCCGTCTCGGCACCAGCCTGCAACAACTAATTCACGATTTCCACAAGGTTGTGTTGACAGACAACGTAAATGGGTGTGAAGCCATCGTTGATGACCTCGCCGTCCTAATCGGAGCCAGCTTCCAGCAAGCAGCACACAACTTCCACATGCTTGTTTAGACAAGCAAGATTCATGGCGGTGTTCTTGTCCTTGTCGGCACCAGCTTCCAACAAACAACGCACAACTTCCACATGGCCCTTTTCGCAAGCAAGCTGCATGGGCGTGTACCCATCGTTGTCGCCGTCCCTGTCGGCACCAGCTTCCAACAAGGCAGAATGCACGGGCGTAAAGCCAATCCTGGCGCTCTTGTCCCTGTCGGCACCAACTTCCAACAAGCAACGCACAACCTCCACATGGCCGTTTTGACTGGCAAAATGCATGGGCGTAAAGCCATCGTTGTCGCACTTGTCCTTGTCAGCACCAGCTTGCAGCAAGCAGCGCGCCACTCCCACATGTCCATTCTTGGCAGCAGCATGAAGGGGTGACGCACCGTATTCTCGAGGGAAAGAAGCATTAGGATCATGAGGCTGCTCCAACATGTGCACAAGGCCTGCCAAGTTTCCCCTTTCAGCTGCTTCAAACAATTTGGCCTCTTCTTCTGCGCTTGTGTGAACAAATGCCCGCACGACGACAGCACAGGGCTCTAGTTCTTCCCAGGGGCTGTTCATTGCCACCACGTGATCTCCACACACCAAGCTCAATCGCCGGAAATTGCTTATCCTCATCCGCTTGGCCAGCTCCTCCCGCAGCCCATCCAGAAAGCATTGCCTGCCGCTTTCCCTGACCCGCTGCTCTGCCCACTGAGCAAACTCCTCGGCTGTCATTACCTCCCTGCCACTTGGCAAGCGGACGCACGCCATGGCTCAACCGTCACAAGCCTTCAACAAGTTGGGCCAGGCTAGGTAGTAAGCATGTCTCGGTATCCTCTTGCTTTCCTTTTGGTTCCCTTGAAAGACCAGAAAGATGATCTAAACAAATGTCGCCCAACCCTGCGTCAAACAAGACGCAAGCTGCCGTGCGGTTTGCTGGGTTGGCTGCGTGCTGGGAGCCGCCAAGAGCCACGTTGAAATGGTTTGGGGGCAGTACTGCACATCATCAGAGAGTTTTGGTGAGAAGAGCAGAATTTTAGCTTCAATTAAATCACTGTCAGTTCACCACTTAAACAACCTCGGAGATCGATGCATTCGCATCTTGTGGACCATATCACAACCAGGGAACTCATTCTGGTTTCTTTAAAAAGAAAGTTGGCAAATGCACACCATTTCGAAGGCTCCCGCTTTTTCACCTGGCAACCGGAAGCGGCAATCTGCAAACTCAAGTTGAATGCATCGTGTCTCTTGTGGTTGAGGCTACCCCCGTTTTGGGCTTTTCAATGGAAAACGATCCCGAAATCGGGGTTGCACTTTGAGACAAACCGTTGGTCGGCCATGGAACGCGCCCTTTTCGGGGAAAGCGCTTTTGGGTTGGCCTTGGTTCCCACACCTTGCATTTTGTAAGCACTCTTTTCGGGTACCCGAGCTCAACCCATCTGGAGCAAGATCTTGCAAACAGCTGAACTTCTCCGAACAGAGAGCGGCCAATCACTCAGCACTTTTGGAGGGAAACACCCTAGTAGTAAGCTCGAAAGTGATATGAGCACCCGTCAACCCTCGCTGAACTGATAATTGTTCCCCCCTCGAACATGAGGGACTTGATGGGTGAGGTCGCAAAACATCCCCCCTACCCACAATTGCGAGGCTGCTACAATTTGTCCAGAATCCCGGCAACTCGCCACGGGTTTCCTCTCATCCAGAATCCAAGCTTCGGCCCAGATTTGAAGTACGCCAAGACTATGTTCAGATGCATGCTGTGGATGGTTGCGAAATCCATCTCGCACCACCGTTCAGAAACCTTGCAATGATTCGAGTCCCCCGTAAACACCAACCTCTTTCGGGTCGCGCCTTGTCTCCTGAAGCTGCTCGGAAGTCAGCAGCAGCTCGCGTTGGAGAGCAGAAACCTCACGATTTTAGGGATGATCCTTTGCCAGGAATATTGATCAACCCCCATATGACAGATGTGGACTTCATTCGGCACATCTAGAAACAGTCCCCCGTGCAAATGGGACCACTAAGTTGCCAGCGTCGTAGGTTGGCAACGTCGAGGACTTCTGTCTCCACAGTGTCAGCATCTGTTCTGCTGCGTCCCTCTCGCCTCAAATGCTCTGCAAGTCAACACCCAACCCCAGCACAAGGCCGCCCCCATGAAGAGGTTGGCTGGGAAGGTTGGGGGCAACAGGTGGTATTCTCTGGGAGTAGCTGGGGGTCGGTGGGCCGCTTCCCCAGCATCCCCAGCATCACCGGCCTCGCTTGCACTAGGGCTGCCAATTGGCTTTGATTTGTTGGCAGTATTTATATATATAGAATGAGGGCGGGTCTTGGGTTTGTTTGAGGCTCATTTAGGCTTTGAAAAGGGCTGATATGCAGGATGCTTCTGGGAGGGTTTAAGGTTGACTTTGAGTCGGTTTGGCTTAGAGCTGATTTGCGCGAGGTGTGCGGACGAACCAACCAACCAACCAACCAACCAAGAGCCGGGGCTAGTAGAAAAAAAAAAAACCACCGGTTCCGAGCACATAGCATCTCCAGCATCTCCAGCATCATGGCATTGTCATCCCTGGGCACATGTTTGTGCATCCTCAGCATTGCCAGCATCCACAGCACTTGCTCGCAGATTCCAAACTGGGGGCTGGCAGAATGGAATGAACAAAATAACACCCAGACCGAAAGATTGACGCGAAACCCACCCCAAAAAGTTGTTCAAGGGCAAAACTGGGTCTGCCTTTTTTAGGGGACCCACAATATGTTGGTTTTCCTTTTGGTGTCCCTGTAAAAACAACAAAAAAACGGGGCACTAAGGCCCAGGGGTCATCAAGACCAGCTCTACTGCTAGTATCTGTCAGGACCAAGACGTGCGGCCATCACATCAATGTTTCAAGACGCAAAGGCTCAGACTCGGACGTGAAAGGGTTTCTAAATAAGGGGACGCAAAATGGCATCGGTTTTCTTATAGTGTGCCTTTTCAGAACCAACCAACAAGGGGCTGCTCGAAAAAAGAAAAAGAAAAAAAAAGACACGCCACTGTTTCCCAAAGTGCATATTCTCGTGCACGTGAGAGTTGACTACAACTGTGTTCGTCTTTCACCCCATGCAAGCATGCCAACTTGTTGCCGCCCAGAAATAGCATGTCACCCTGGGCGATCGAGGAGCAACACTTTTTCCCGCGAAAGCACGGAACATGTCGATTTGCAACACCCAATTGGCTTTGGCAAAATGGCAAACCGCCAGTTTGGGCCCCCGATTGGTCCCCACATGGGTCTGTCTCAAAATAGGAAACCCAAAGAATTGGTGATTTCCTTTTTGGTTTGGCTTTTAACCACCCCAAAGATGGCACTCTGAAAAAAAGAAGAAAAAAAAACGACACAGCCATGTAGGCACAACTAGACTCCAAAAGAACAACCACCGTTTGGCTTTGGCTGAGGAAAACCAAATGTGTTAAGCTAAACTACCATGTCCTTGCAGAACGGTGCCAGGAAAACCACATGGTTGTTTGTTTCTTCTGCTAGGAAAACCATAAGTCCTTACAGACCTCCTGCTTCCTTCGTTCATTCGGTAAGCAAATTTTGGAGACCCCCGGCTCCGAGTCCGGCTCGCTCCCAACTGTCAAGCAACTCTTCCAGCTTGCGGCCAGCGAGATCTCCCGAGCCTCGCTGCTGGACAGCCTGAATTCCAGAGTCCGGAGTGGGCTGGGCGAAGAGCTGTACATATACTACATACATGATATGTGTGTATGCATGCATCCATGCATGTATATAATAAAGCGTAGCAAGTATACATATGTGTATATATATATATGGATACAATAAATAAATAAATATATATATATATATATATATACACAATATATATATATATATATGTATGTGCATCCTTGTGTGTGTGATTGCGATGTGGTGCGATGCGATTCCATTGGGGTGCAGTGTGATGTCGTGGAATCAAATGCAATGTAATGATCTGTAATGTAGCGTCATGCAATGTACGTAGTGCAAGGTAAGCTCGGATAGTATGCGGTGCAATGCAATGCAATGAAATGAAACAACATGACATGAAATGCAATGCAATGAAACGAAATGCAATGAAACGAAAGCAATGAAGCGGAATGCAATGTAATGCAATGCGATGCGATGCAATGCAATGTAATGCAATGTGGGTCTAGTCAGGTATCTATGTAGTCATCGACTGACATGTATGTACGGCCTATATTTGTTGAAATGGATTGATTGATGGGATTGCGTTGTCCTTCTACTAAGTCATCCGTTCATCCATGGAAAAGCGTTCACAGGTGTCTGCCTTGTCGCCAGGCTCCTTGTGCCTAAGAATCGCTCATGCAAGAAAACTCGTCTAAGAATGGGTCCTTAAACCCTTGAAAAGTGAACCTAAGAATCTTTAAACCAGAAATCTTCACATCTACGAATGGAAACTTGAGGCCCTGCTTGAGGCATTTCGACGGGCCTTGACTTCATTGACTCTCATGCCTTTGGATCCGCTGCCATGTGGTTGGTTTACTCAGTTGCCCAATGGACCCAGACAAGAAAGGTTCACCTTTTGGAACCTTGACAAAATAGGGACCAAATCAAGAAACCAAAAGGTGACTTAAGGGGTCCTGGACAACTGCATCCGGTCAAACTCACACCAATTGACTGCAGGAATCCAAGATATGCGTCTTGACCAAACAGGTCATGTGTGACATTGTCAAGGACCCTCCAAATAATTGGTTTCATGTTCAAACCTAGCCGAACAGGGGTGACAAGTTCTGACACAAGCAAGCTCTTAGCCATGAAGCCACCATCAATGCGTGTGCAACGGAACGGCACAATGCGAACCCCGGTGCCAAGACAACAGCACCCAACCCTGCATCCCAAAGACGTAGGTGCTCTTTTGGACAAAAGAATGGATTCCAATAGCAAAGGGAGAAACCCCCCCCCAAGTCTGGCTATGGATCAGCAGGGCCCAGGTGTGTCTCTTCTTTTTAGGTACGTACGCTGGTCAGGTTGATTTAAGGGGCAACTGGGGGATCCCTATCAGATATTGAACTATACAAACCCGTTGCAACATCTGCTGACTTGTCTCTACTGCCAGCACCCGTGGACCCAAAAACAACTCACAAAGCGCACGGTGCTTGGGTGTTCAGCCGTGTAAGTTGATAGAAACCTAACGTGTAACCCATTTGTAAGTCCACCCGAAAAGAGTTGGCCTTGTGCGGAACCTACAACCCGACCTGTTCAACGCCTGCCCAACAGCGCTCCCTACGTATCCCCTCCAAACATCATCCCCACATGCCAAAACTCGCCAGGCCAAAACCGCCAAAAGGGAAATAATAAAGGGGTTTGTCTCTAAAACGGCGAACCCACAAAATCGTTGGCCTTGCTTCCTCTGGCTTTCCCTGTAAACCAACCCCAGAAACCACCTGCCTTGAGCCCGCGATCCTCCCCCCGCGCGCCGAGCCCGAGCCGCTCCCGGCACCGCTGCTCCTCGAGTCTCAGCTGCGCCTCCTGCGCCGAAGCGGCCGCCTGCGCCGCCGGCAGCTCCGCGTCCTCGGGGCGCTTTTTTTGGGGCAGCGGAGGGCGGAAGTGGTCGTTTTCTGGATATGACCAGTGGGTGGCCTTTTGGAAAATAGGTGAGGTTCCCTGGTAAATGGGTAATAAACCCCAGTGGAACCCATCTATTTTGAACCAAACTCACCTAAAAATGACACCTATGGATATGACCAGTGGGTACAATTCATATGGCAGTAACAATCCGTATGGCAAGTGAGTACAGTTGGCAACTTGGAGATGTCAACCAAAAGTGTATATGTTGCTATAATTCCAAAAGCTGAATTGAGGGATCCCCAAGTAAAGGACCTTTATCATGGTGAGCTCGTTTTACCCCCGGATCGGTGAGTAAGCTATAAAATAGGCAAATGAACATTCTAGTATATGAAGAATATAAACTGTTTCTGAAAACGTTTTTTGCTGATTAACACTGTTTTTTTTTCTGTGTTGTGCCCACAAAAAAGCAAACGGACAAACAAACAAACAAGCAGGGTGCGCCAGCGTGGTTGTGGATGCGTGTAAGCGTGTTTATCACTTCTGCCAGCATTGGCGCAGTGATTGTGGAGGCGTGTGGGCGTGTTTGCTATCATTTGTGCCAGCATGGGTCCCGTGCAGTGGTTGTGGATGCGCTGCTAGGGAAGAAATCATCCAAGAAGCATTATATCTCTCGTGGACACTCTCGAACGAAGAGAGGAGTGGGAACGGAGAGATGCTTCCGTTTGGCGAAGGCAAAAGCTGCGGCGGATCGCGTGAGCGTGCTTCTTTTCATTCGTGCAGCATGCGTGCTGCGATTGTGGATGCGCGTGAGCCTGTGATTTGTCATTCGTGCCAGCTGCCGTGGTCTTGCACGCGCGTGAGCGTGTTTATTATCACTTGTGCCAGCATGGGTGCAGTGGTTGTGGATGCACGTGAGAGTGTTTCTCATCGTGTGTGCCAACTGGGTGCAATGGTTGTGGATGCACGGACAAACAACCAAACAAGGAAACAAAACAAACAAAACAAACAAAACAAACAAAACAAACAAACAAAAAAACAAACAAACAAACAAACAAAACAAACAACCAACCAAACAAACAAACAAACAAACAAACAAACCACCAAGCAACCAAGCAACCAACCAACCAAACAAACAACCAAGCAAGCAAACAAACAAACAAAAACAACCAAGAAACAAAAAGCAAACAAACAAACCAACAATCAACCAACCAAGCAAGCAAACAAACAAACAACCAAACCTAAGCAACCAAACAAACAAACAAACAAACAAGCAAGCAAGCAAACAAACATCCAATCAATCCAACAAACAAACAAACAAACAAACAAACAAACAAGCAAACAAACAAACAACCAAGCAAGCAATCAAACAAACAAGCACACAAACAGGCAAACAAAACAACAACCCAGCAATCAATCAAAGAAACAAACAAGCAAACAACCAAGCAAGCAAACAAGCAAACAAACAAACAAACAAGCAAACAAACAAACAAGCAAACAAACAACCAACCAATCAATCCAACAAACAAACAAGCAAACAAACAAACAAGCAAACAAACAAACCAACAACAAAACAACCAAGCAACCAAACAAGCAAACAACCAAACAAAGAAACAAGCAAGCAAAAACAAAAACAAACAGACAAACAAACAAGCAAATTAACAATCAAACAACCAAGCAATCAATCAAACAAACAAACAAGCAAGCAAGCAAACAAGCCAAAAAACAAGCAAACAAAAACAACCAAGCAAACAAAAAGCAAAACAAACAAACAAACAAACAATCAACCAACCAACAAAGCAAGCAAACAAACAAACAAAGAAACAGACAAACAAGCAAGCAAGCAAACAAGCAAAAAACAAACAAACAAACAAAACAGCATTCAATCAAACAAGCACACAAACAGGCAAACAAAATAACAACCCAGCAATCAATCAAACAAACAACCAAACAACCAACCAACCAACCAAGCAAGCAAACAAACAAGCAAAAAAAACAGCAATCCAAGAAAGGAAGAACAACCAAAGACCCTGCACAACAAAGCAAACAAAGACTGAAGGTCTGGGCACTCGTGAACCTCCCACATGATGATCAGAGGTCCCTGGCCCTTCGGCCGGGTGTCAGCAGCTTCTAGCTTCGACAGTTCCTGGGCGAAGTGGGCCTCATGCTTTTGCACCGCCTGGACGATCCTCGGAAGCGCCATGGGAAACCGGGAGGTGAACCCAAACTGACACCAGTGGAATACGTCTGTTTTCAAACAAACTCACCAAACAGGACACCTAAAGAATTGCTTCCAAGCAAGTTGTTCCCATCGTCGAAATACTGATATGTGGTCATGTTTTGTGTTTTCCTCTGATCTTCGGATTCCTTGTTCTCATCCAGATCCTCCAAGCTAAACATTGAATGGGCCAATGCTCGATTGTCTCTCGGCTCCATTGCGGGATGATTCACACTGGAGGCGAACGATCTCCAAGGGACCGACCTTTGGGTGAGCTGGTAAAACACCACGTGAGCTCGCTATGCGTGCAGATTAGATGGCAACCCATGCGGCTCGACCCCGCCTACTACACTGATGCACAGAGCCACGGCAAGGGGAGACACCGCAAAGTAACAGTTCCCAGTGCCTTTTTGGAGCCATTTATCATGGCTAAGGGGGGGGAGGGGGCTATCCCTCATTCACCGCTTAATAAGGCCTTATGAAGCACTTACCCTTCCTCCCACCAACATGGCACCTGACCGGGGGTCCCTCAAAGAGGAACATTATCTTCCAGCTACCCTCCCCCAGGTGCCATGGTAGTGGAAGGAAGGATATCCTTGGCTTATCCTGAGCTTATCCAGGCTTAGCCCCCCCCATAGCCCCTCTGAGGGGTCCATGAATTAAGGACCAGTGAGGGCCATGAACTTCCCATGGCTCCCCTTGCTACGGCTCTAAATCGGTCAGTATCGAAATAGATCTACTACATACATAGCGTGACATTTAGAGATTGATCTACACTTGGATCAAGATCTGAACAAAAATATAAACTAGCTCTATGCACATATATATATATATATATAGTTGCATAGGAATATACAAAAATATACATACCTATATAATATTAAATAAATAAATAAATATATATATATATGATACCTAGTATATTGGGCCATCGCTAGTGTTTCGCCGAGGGTCTCCTCCAGATCCGCCTTGAGCCTTGCCTCTCGGGCCGCGCCCTGCATGGCCCGTCGGTGTGCCGCCTGGAGGCGCCGGGGTTGGTTAGGTCGCCGAATTGGGCTAGGTCCTCCAGCACATTTCTTGCAGTATGAGAGAACTAGTCCCAACTAGCAACCTCTTCCACTCCCAGAACCCCACAGTACACCTTGGATAAGCAAGCATGATCTAGAAAGAAATTGAGGGAAAACCAACCACACCTAGGGCCTCCAGTAGAGAGGTTAGAATAAGGGTACCAACTTTTTTCAGGACGTCTATTTTAGTATGGGAACCCTCCCAAGCAAAAAAGGGTGAGGAGGGCACTACTGGGGTAGATAGTTGGGTTAGGTAGGTTGGAAGCTTAGGTTAGGGTAGGTTAGATTAGGCTGGGTTATGTTAGGCTAGGTTAGGTAGGTAGGTAGGTCGGCAGGCAAGTAGAACCGCTTTGGCTACGTTGGTTTGGGGCTTCCATTCCCTCGGCTAAGAAGTAAGATTTGCGTCTCTCAAAGTTACTGCCTCCCTACGGATATGTGCAAGTGGGTGTTCGTTCCGTTTTCCTAACAAAACAAACAAAACATGGCTCCTGAGTTTGAGACACGCCCATGTCTGTTCGGATTTTCTCAACATCACCTGTGGCTGCGATGTTAAAATGAGGCTCCTGGGGTGATGCAAGAGGACATCAGAAGCTTCAGAGGGAATGAAGGGCAGGTGGAAAGCGATCAGGTCGTTTTGAGAGGCGCGCAAATCTGCCAATGCTTGCGAAAGGGAACTAGGGCGTCAGGTGTCCCCCCCCCGAGCAAACGACGTGAAGTAAGTCGTAATCGCACAGACGCCAAGCCGGACTCAAGCAACTCAGTTGTTAACCCTTTTTTGGGAAGACCATTTTAGTGGGGCAGCCCCCCAAACAAAAGGGGAAAAAGGGTGCCACTGAACAACTGAGGAAATAATACCATGTGGCCGCTGTGTATGGACAACAAAAAGCGTCCAAAGATCGGCGAGGTTTTCACAGCATCTCGGAAGCTCTTCCTCCCCCTCTCAACAGAACCGGCGTGTGCCAAGCACCCAACACGTTCGGTATGCACCCAACCAAGGTCAGTTTTCAATCAACCGGAAAAAACTGTGAAACTCTTGGGGGCATTCCAAAAACGGGAAACCAAAAGGTGGAAGTGTTTGGCTTTGGACAACTGAGCAAGGGAAGCAACAGGTGTTATTTTTTAAACCAAACAAATGGGCTGCCCTCAAATGCCCCGCGAAAAGTTTAACTTGTGGGTTAAGTTCGGAAACTACCACTAAACCACCTAAAAACCAACAAAAACCAGTAGGGGGACGGCTAGGAACCCACTAAGAACCACTTAAAAAGTGAAGGGAACCGGATGGCTGGGAGACAAAAACAAGGAAAAGAACACCGAAACCCTCTGCGCCGAATGACTTAAAAAGACGCCTCCTCCGCCGCGTTCTGCGCCGCCATGGCCTGCTCCTGCCAAGAAATGGACTTGTTGGCAAACTCGCTTGTGCTCAGCAGGGAAACCCCTGGTTCTTGCAGAGCGTAATTGGGAAACCACCACAAAAGGGGAACCCACAAAATCGTTGGCTTTGCTTCCTTTGGCTTTCCCTGTAAACCAACCCCGAAAACCTTGGTTGACGTTGGAAGCAAAGCAACAATCTTCAAATGTTAGCAGTTAAGTGGTTGGATTTCAACTAAAACACAATCAGCGAAAATGGCAAATGTTCCCCAACAACAACCATGAGTAGGGAATGAGGAAAAGACGCCTACAAAGCATCCAACTGGTGGATTCCTTTAAGGGAATCCCAACACAGATCAAACCCTGAGCGCCAGCAGGCAAAGGTGTGGTACTTCGGTTTGGTTCTAAGTTAGGAGGCAATCAAAAAACTGGCGAATGCTTCAGGTTCTAAGTTGGATAGCGAGTAGCCTGTTACAAAGGCTTTGTAGTGAGGTTCTGTAAATCCATCATACACACATATGGCTGTGGCTCAAAAAACCGGTACCAAAATGGGTTGCCCTGGTAAGTGGAAAATGGACCAAAACCTGCCGTTTGCCCCTCCTGTTTAATTTTGATTGCCACACCCATATGCAGCAACAAAGCCCATAAATCCGTTCGGCAACTTGCAAGACCCAACATATCCTAAATCCAGGATGCCAAATTGAGAAGCCGCACAAAAGGGCCACTGGCAGCCGAGGATTTTGGATAAAAAAACGCGACTGATGTAAGCCCCGGGATATTTGTCCAAAACTGGGTACCCTCTTTTTCGTGGCCATTAGTTTGGCTTGGGCGCTCAGTTGCACGGGGATTCTGCCAAGATCAAGGGCGAAGTTGCGCACTGCAAACCTTTGGGAGGAAGGGAGAAGGCAGCAAATGGTAGAACTTCCTGCAAGTTCTTCGAATTTGCTTTGGCGGATTTCATGTTCACCTCTTCCTGGGGTGTCACTTTCCCAGATCCAATATAGGTCCACTGGGCGATGCCAGAGCAACCGACCAAAGACTGAGCCAATCGAGCCACACCGGCAAATCACTGGCAGCCAATGGACTCAGGACCCCTCCTCGGTGTTCCAAGGCTGTTCTCGTCTATTTTGCTTGCGCAACCCAAGGAGAATTTACCCCAAGCAGTTGTGTCTCTCTGCTTTGGCTGATTCCAAGTAGACTATCCTACACAAGTGTTCGGGCTATCACCTATGCCACATCTGGCAGACTGGACCAACTATAGTATGTTGCTGCGCGTATCTTTCAATTGAAATAGCGTTGGACATCCATGGTCCATTGGCTATAGACTTTGCGTTCTTCGGCTTCCCTGCGTGTGGTGGACACTTGGGTCTATGTTGCATCCACCTGCTTTAAGGCCTGGATCTTTAGGTGAACATCTATTTGGCCGCTTCGGAGCGCCTTATTTCTTGAGCCAAAACATGTCAGTAGTCTCAACTGTACAACTGTATATGACAACATGCGTATTGGGCTACATATTTCAACACTCCTCCTTGCTGGAGGGTGCTTGATCACCCGCACAGCAACTATACAGTGCGGTAGTCGGAGCCTGGACCAGGGCCTTACGAATCTAGAAGACTCATCTGGCCTTTACTCTTGCTTTGAAGGAACACAAATCCGGAACGATTCATTGTGTCCTTCATTTGGACTCCGGGTACTGACTTTGTCAGCACATCAGACCTGTTCCGCTTGCCTGGTATGTGTTCTACCTTTAAATGGTTCATCGCCACACGTTCCTGTAACCACAGATAATGAGTTTGAATGTGGCGTGCCTTTCCCAGGCCTACTCTATTAACCGTGCCTTTGGCTGCGGTTGCATCAGACTCTACTACAGAGACCGAGCTTCAGTCTCCGGCCCTTGGCTGACACCCGGTCTGTTGCCCAGGCACTCAGCAAGTAGCGCATTGCCTCCAACGGTGGCGTTGACGAGAACAGGAGGTTCTGCGGCAACTGTTCTTCCGGCTTCTTAGCTGCCTTAATTTCACGGGCAACTAATCTAGACCGGTAGTTGGGCTTTTCCGGATCTCCTTTGTTCGTGTCTAACCATCTCACCGTGATTGGACGAAGTCCCTCTGCGTAGCATTGTGTTACCGGCACCTTCCGGTAAACTCCTTGCTTCTTGAAGTAGTCCATCTCAAGAGTTCTGGCCTTCTTAACTTCTTCCGCTGGTAGAAGTCCTCCATTCACATCATCCCAGTACTCTTCAATGTAGTCTGCTGGACAAAAGGTTCCTCACAGATTGGCCCTGATGTATTCGACTCCATTGAGTTAAGCTCACCCTTCTGTACAAGATAAGCTTTGACTGTCCGAAGGACAGCTTTGACCAGCGCAGGTGGGTACCTGGCGGCCTGTTTGGCAATTCCACCAATAAGGTGTACATGCCTGTGCCAGGGATCTTTCCCTGCCTTGTTGCTGCACTCACCTTCCAAGAGCTCAGCAAGCTCCCGGCTGTTAGTGAGCCAACCGGTCTCCTTTCTCACATAGCCTGTGCCTTGAAGACCACGGCGGTCTGTCGCCATCATCTCCCATCGGCACATCGGCCCTCGGACCAAATATGTGTCCGGGCGATCCGTCAGTTCCTTGACTTCAGGATCTTTCCACGAAGTGGCACTCCAGGGCGCCTCGTGTAAGAACAGGCGTCCTGCATCCAGCTGCTTCCTATAGAAGCTGCATGAGTTGTGCAAATGCTCCAGTGCTTTATCCATACGGATCTTACGTTGATCCGGGCTGACCCTGTACTTGTTGATGTTCTGCAAGTGGCTGAATTGATCACACGGCGGACTCCCAGTCAGTAGTACTGGTTCGTCGCGATCAATCAGTTGGTTTACGGCCTCGACGTCTTCTGGCCTGCTAAGGTCCCAGAACGAACCGTCGGGTTTAGCCTCCTCAAGGTCAACTGCGAAACCAGGCTTTAAACCAAACCTGCTCGCCTCCTTAGAGAATCTTGCTGGACTGTACACTTCCATGATGTGTACTGCGCTTAGCTCGCAGCTTATGTTGGCTAGAGTCTCAATTTCCACTGACGAGATCTCTACCTCCTGCTGCTCATAGACCTGCTTGATTCTCCTCTCGATCATCCTCTTCACCACCTCCTTTGCCCTGCTCAAAGACAGTCCTCCCGCGTCCGGGGGCTGCCCTGGAGTAGTTGCTCCAGCAGGTGGCTCTCCAGTTTGATCTCTCAAATCTTCAACTGATACCTCAGGTTCTCTCTTCTCTCCTTGGGGTGGCTGGACCTTCAGCTTAGGTCCAGCGGCTATCCTGAGTTCTCCCGGTCTTTTCTGAGGCTTGACCGGTGAGGCTTTAGCCTTACTCCCTGCAGGCGTACTGCTACTGCTGGGCTCTGCAGGTGCACGTTTCAGGCTTGACCTCTCCTCTGAGTTGTCAGGGTATGGCAAAATGCCCTCATCCCTGCGTTCTTCACTAGCTTGCACGGCCTTGTCGGCCGGTGCTCCAGCTGCGTCATCAGCTGTCACATCCCTCTCAGGGGCCTCGTTCTTCTCATCTCTTTTAGATCTCTTCTTCCTCTCGTGTTCTTCTAATCTGCTCTTGCCTTCCTCATCTTGTTGCATCAGAGTCACAATCCTGGCTCTGCATGCCTCCGTATGTGGCAACACGGTAGATTGGCCCAACAAAATGCATGTGCACCCTGGGCACCCATCTGTAGGCGTATACTTCTCGACGTCTGCCTTCCGGATGTAGATCCTCTTCTGCATAGGTCGCGCCATGACATGAACTGCTAGTGGCACCTCCATCCTTGGCTCTCCAACCAAGACAACGGCTTCTCCAGCCGCTCCGGCACGTGGCGTGCCCGGTGACCTCCGTGCAGTCACCTCCCATGGAAGCCCTCGTAGGGCATCCCATCCGTCGGCTACCCAACGGTCACAGTCCGCCAGCCTGCGGACTCCAGCGCCCCTCTTGACACCATCTGCTGTGATCACCAAAAGTGATCCGGTACGACCATGGTGGCCGATGTACCGGCCTTCCTTAAGATGTCGTACTCCTTCTCCTACCTCACGGTAGTACAACTTTTCGCCTATAGCGATCGCTGGCTTTCGCCAGTTCTTACCACAACGCCTGTGTTCAGGCGTGCGGCCGTCCGGTCCTTTGCGGTACCGGCACATCAGGTCTGCCGCATGCCGCGGAAGCCATGCCAGGACGGGATCGTCCTCGCGTAGAACCTTGCCGATCATCTCTTCTAAAGAAGACCTCAAGACTCTTACCTGCCTCTTGACCTCACGGACTGCATTCTCCGCAAGTCCATTGCTCCGGTGGTCACCCACCGGGGACTCCTGTGGAACGTTTTCCACTCCAGCCTCACGGGCTGCCAGCTCCTTAAGAGCAACAATCGAATGCTCACCATCGCTCATCATGACCGCTCTCCGATAGCCTAAGTGCTTCAGAAAGTTGGCAAAGAACTTCACGGCATAGGGTGTAGGACCCTTTGCATCCACAAAAGTGGCTGCCACGGACAACGTCCGGCTGTCTTTGATCACCAAGATAGGCTTGGCTCTTCCATCTTCCTTGCCATCTGTAGTCATGAAGGTGTAGTCGCTCGCGATGATGGGTAAACCGTCATCTCTCCTACTCTCCTCGTCTCGAGACCTGTGTTGCTGACCTAGGCCTCTCCCAACAACGCAATGCCGGCACCAAGTCCTGTACTGAACATGGCCTGTGGACTCATGCTCGTCCACCTCCGCCCTTGTCGGGTTCGCTGGTGCGTGCACCAACGCAGGCGGTGCAATCTCCTCACTCTCCTCTTCTCTCTCAGGAACACCCTCAGGTCGGCCCTCAGGTGCTCCCATGTCCTCATCTCCTCGTCCGGCGGGCGCGGCATCATCTGCCGCTGCCATGGCTTGGGCCGGACTTACACCACTGTGGGCTGCCGCCCAAAACCCTGAGTAGGTGCCTTCGCCTTCAGGTAGAAGTTGTAGACACCTTTCTCCTGGTACACCGGAATCCATGCCTTCGCATGGTGCTTGTTCTTCTCCTTCTCAATGAGCTCCAAGATCTTGCCAGAAACCTTGGAGTCCTGCGGGATCAGATTCCCGCCATGCTCGTCTAGCACCGCAACTCTGCCGTGCTTCAAGCATTTGTAGGCCGAGACCAAGGGTTTGTGTACCGGAGCCAACGGGCCTGTGACACTACAGCAGTGCCCAAACTCTCCGGTTCCTTTGAACACACCCGTACCAGTCCCACGGACCAGCTCACCTGAGGCCGTCTTGAACATAACCTCAGTTCCTTCCTTGACCGGCACTTTGTCTGCCCAGTCCGATGGGATTGCTGTCTGGGCTGCACCGGTGTCCAAATTGAAGCGGACCCATTCCATAGCCTGGAGGTCCTCTCCAGCTGTAAGTGCACCCAGCTCAAACATACCCACATCGAGCTCTCCTTCGGGTTGTTCTTCTTCATGGGCTCCCTCACCTGTGTCCTCTTCCAGTGAGTTCGCTCCTTTGTGCTTACCCTTGCTCTTGCCTTTCTTTCCACCTCCTTTTGAGCCTTTGCTTGAGCCTTTGTTTGAGCCATCCTTCTTTTTACTCCAGCACTCCGCAGCTTTATGCCCGGCTTTACCGCAATTAAAGCAAACTATGTCCTTGGAAGTTGAACCTTTTCCCCCACTGCCCTTGTCTTTACCTTTGCCCTTACTCTTGCCCTTTCCACCGGATCCCTTGCCTTTGACCAAGCTGTTGATGACCTTTGTGAGGCTGTCCACGTCCATGGGCGCCGGACCACTGTCCGATGAGGATGCTGCGCCAGGGCGTGAAATCGGTGCCTTACTTCCCAAAGAGGATTCAATCACAAGGTCAATTTCTGATTTCATCTGTGCGTAGGTTGTGAGGCGTCCTTTGTTCAACAAAAGGTGGCGTTCAATGTCTGAGGGTACAAGCAACTCCAAGCTGGTCGCCTTTATGTCTTCTGACAGGCGTTCTCTCTCACCAGCTTCGTTCTTGCGATTTTCATATCGCCTGAAAAGGTCCTCTAGTTGCTCTATTGCGGCCCTCACATTTTCCCACCGTTTCACACGTTCTGGGTTCAATATCGCCCGGAGTATGTTTCTCTTCCGTCCGGCGGTTAGGGGATCCCACCGGCGGTGGATTCTTCTCCACGCTTCGAACCCATTAGAACAGCCTATCACCAAGTCCTCAGTCTCTCCATGGGTTAAGGAAGAAAGCAAACGAAACAATTGGTCCCCTATGTCTGGTAAACCGGACACCCCGTCCGGCTCCCCATGCGCGGCCTCGACTTCGTCCACAGTGATGTCGTCGGGCCCATCCTGATCGAGGCACCAATCCAATACTTTCTCAAATTCCTTCCCAAAGATGCTGACAACAAGGTTTGTGACTGAACGCACCCACTTCCGGAACGTATGCTCTTCATTGTTGAACCGTTCCGGCTTACCAATCCCCTTTGTGTCAACCAACAGCTTCCTGGGTTCCTCTCTTTTTGTATTCCTGGCCAATTCTGTCATGCTTTCGGCCAGCCGGGTCAACAGGGCAGTTTGTTCCTGTTGCCTCTGTTGCTGCTCGCGCAACACTCTATTTTCCTCAAGGATCTGCTGCAGTTGCGCTTGTATGGCAGCTAATTCTGCCATTGGCCCTCGGCAGACTATACGTCTGCCTCGCTATCCTCGGCGGGTTCCTCCACAAAGATCTCGGACCCCGACGTGTAGGTTTCCGAGTCTGTGGACTCCTGCTCAGTCGGAAAGCGGACTCCGGACCACTTAGGCTGCGGAGCTCCCGGTGGCTTCTGCTTGGGCTTGAGAAACACCGGTGGGCCTTTACTGCTTTTGGCCACTTCCTCACCCGGCTTTTCCTCGGGCTGTCCCTTGGGCTGCAGCTTGAGCTTGGGCTGCAACTTGACCTTTGCTGCAGGCTTTCCGGATGCTGTCTTGGGCACAGGTGGCGGCTTCTTCGCCGCGGGCTTGGGGTTCACTGCAAGGGCCTTTGATGCAGTGGTGACAGCAGCAGGTGCGATAGGCGTCGCGCCCTTCGCGCCCTTGCCTTGGCTCGCGATGCGCGCCGCACGCTCCAACACCCACGGGTATTGGGCGCGGTGCCTCTCGTCGCACGAGCTGCAAGCCTTTGCTAGGCTGTCACGGGCCAACACCTGGGCCCTGATCGCTGCCTCTACGGCAGCTCCGGCTGTTCCTTGAGCCGGTGCTTTGCTCTCGGCAATTTCCTGAGCGATTGCCGCGTTCCTCAGGCGGTAGTTGCTGGCCAATGCAGACTCCGGGGTGGCTTTGCCTGCACGCACTCTGCGCAATGCTGCCTCTTGCGTGGCTAGCGCCACACTGATCACGCGGCCTGCAGACTTCGCCGCGGCTGCCACCTCCGGCAGCAATGCAATTGGCTCAGCGCCCGGTGCTGCTGCCTCCTCAGCTGCTGCGGCTGCTTTGGCAGTGGGCTCCTCCTCCTCCTCCGAGGTGCTTCCACTGGTCGGCCTTCTCTTACGGCGGGTCAACTCCCGCTTGGGCCTTTGCCTTGGACCACCTGGAGGGGACTTTGGCTGCACGTTCCTGCCAAAGCCTTTGGGGACAGGCACCTCGTAGCCGTACTCTTCTTCAAACTTATCGAGGGCTTCCTGGACTGCAGGCGGGATCGGCGCTTCAAGTTCGGCTCCTCGGGACCGGCGTCCGTCCTTCCACTTCCGGCTCTCCTTCGCCTTGCTCTTCTTCTTCTTCTGCCCTTCTTGCCTTTGCCCTTTCCCTTGCCTGCTTCTTCGGGCTGCTGCTGCAGGGGCCTCCTCCTCTGATTCTACTTGGACCTCCTCTTCCTCAGCTGCTGCTTCTGCTGCTTGTGCTGCTGGCAGCCTCCGGATGCGATGCGATGAGGATGGAGATCGCCTGCCCCAGGCGTCCGAGTCCGACGCTGAAGCCTCTGTGGATCTATTGACTGCCTGGCTGGGGCAGCAGCAGCTCTCCTCTCTGTCTGCTGGGGACCAATCTGGTCCCGAGGCCAATTCTTCTGGCCCCTCTTCAGCTCCTCCAAGCTGCTCAGGCCCGGTCTCCTCCACCGGGGCCTCTTCGGGCAGCTCCTCGGTCTCTGGCACGACCGAAGCGCCCTCCTCGCCTGGCGGCTCTACCGCCGCCGGGCTCCTGCCGCGTCCGCGGCCTCCCCGCCTCCAAGGCGGTACTGATCCACGCCCTCTGCTGGCGTAGTACCAAATTGAGCGCTTAGGTCCCTCTGAACCTTTACTGCTCCCCGCTACCATGAAAATCTATTTGGCCGCTTCGGAGCGCCTTATTTCTTGAGCCAAAACATGTCAGTAGTCTCAACTGTACAACTGTATATGACAACATGCGTATTGGGCTACATATTTCAACATTAGGGCTTGGTGCTGCAAAAGACCCAGCAAACGAAAAAAAGAGTCTAAGGCGTCCGAATCCACATCTGAACTGTGTCAGATGCCGGGCTAAAGGGGAAAGAGTCAGGAGGCTACCCCAATTCCGCGTTTCTGGCAAGGGAAAACGAACAACAATTGGCTGTTCCCAGATCGGGCCCCTGCTAGAAGCTCAACTTGTCGTGGAAACCACCACACTAACCCTGAGAACCTGAAAACCCAAGGGCTGGAAACCACAAAGAACACCTGGCGATCTCCAGGGTCAGCCCCTCCCCCAGTCCCAACAATTCCGATCGCTTGTGTAGGACAAGCATGTGCGCAGCATCCGAACAGACCCCCGTGGTCGACCCCACGGAATGGGTCAGGTCCGCCCCGCATGAGCCATGCACTTCTTAGCACCGATTTGTTGGAACCCATCTGTTGAAACCCATGCGTTCCAACCCATTGAACCATTTCGAGCCTGGGAACATCCGGCGCCAAACTTCCATTTGGGTCTTGACAATTTGAGGGTACCCTCTTCGGGTGGGTTTTCCGGCAAACCAAAAAGAAACCACTCATTTCTGGGCTGCTCCCTAGTCAGAGGCTTCTAGTCAACTGCAAAGGCTGAAGCCTTTGGAACCGAAACCCACTCCCTTCTAAGAACCCACCAAACCTCAAAAAAGCGAGAAACGCCCATTAAGCTACCACTCCAAAAAGCCGGAAAAAAAAACTGAGGCACAGGTTTGGGCCCCACCCAGTTTTGCAGGACCCTGGCCCGTGAGCAAATCTCTCCTCCGCCAGCTGCGCCTCACGCTGCGCCGCCCGCAGCTCCGCCCCCGCCTGTCTAGCCGGATCCCTTCATGCTGAGGGCGGAGCCAACAAATTTGTGTGGGCCCTGAAGAACTTGGTTGTTTAAAGAACAAGCAATTGGCTGTTTTATAGTGGCCTAAAAGATTGGCCATGTAAATATTTACTATTTCAATATGCCCTAAACGTCCCTTGGCACCGAAGGAGAAATTTAAAGCCCCCCCTCCTAAAAAAACACCCCAAACCCCTTTCGAGGGTACGACGAGATCCGGGTAGATGATATAGTTTCTTCATTTGTAATCTAGTCAACTATTTAGGCCACCATAATAAACAGCCCATTGCTTGATTATTCTCTAGGGCCTAAATGCACCGCAGGGTCCGACACGAGGACTCCGGGAGCTTCAAACGTCGCCGCATGTTGTTGCTTGCAAAGCCTACAAGGAGAACGGGAGAAAAAGAAAAAAACGGGAGCTGCCAAGTACCCGAAGTCTACCATTGTTGGCTCCAAAGATTTGAACCCATGGTGAGGTACCCCCACCACATGCCCGGGACTGAGCCCTACTATACACCCGGATTCATCCGGTGAAAGCTAAGCACAGGACGGCTTAGGAGAGCCAAGGAAACCGACCAGCCAATATGCCAAACGGCACATAGTGCTTTCCTACCCGGCCCAGTGGGAACAAAGCAGCTTACCAATGCTTGGGGCTTTCAAATGGCCATGGGTCAAAAGCCAAATCGGTTAGCCCCCAGTAAACATCCCCATCCCCACTGAAATAGGTTCTTAAATGGGTGGTGAATTCACCTACCCCAAAATGGGATCCCAAAACGGTTTTGACAACCACTGCCAAATCAAGCCTCACCACCCCCTCGCCCACGACAACGAGCTCAAGTCCAGCGACCTGCTCCAGCTCGCGCCGCCGTAACTCCTCTTTCGCGCTCTGCTCCGGCGCCGGCGCCGGCGCCGGCTTCGGCTCGGCGGCCTCCTGACTCTATCTGCGGTTGCTCTCGGTGAGCATATTCACTGGGCTGCCCACAGATCCCCCGCTAAAAGTGACTAACTCTTGGTGGGTTGAATGGACACTACCACAAAACACTATATAAAACGCTAAAAAGCTAAGGAACCGGATGGCTGGCAGCCACCAAGTTCACAGGTGAGTCACAATCAAAACCTGGTACCATGTAAAGACTAAACCAGGCGGCTTCGCCCATGTATGGTTCGGTGAATTCAGCAGGTGTTGAGCGCGGACTCCACCGGTGGTTCAGATAGGCAGCAGTGACATGGGCGTGTTCCGCATATGCCGAGCACGTGCAGACGGTCGAAAAGATGGAAAATAATGATGGTTCCGGGGTTTGATATTGTGGTTCAGGTCGTGACTATTTCATCAAGGAATTCTATGCCTCACCTGAGCTGAATTAAAGAATCCCTAAGAACGAGCCCCTGCCTGAGCTGGTATCCCAAGACGCGCAAGCTCTAATGTCCATGCAGCAGGTGAACGAGGCAACCCTAAGGTTGCGCTTTCCAGGAGAATCTCTAGGTTGCGCTTTTCAGGGGGCCCGTTCGTTGGGGGTCTGAAAGGAAAACCAACAGTAAAACCGGTTTTTTTTGGGGGGGACCCCCTAGAAAAGACAGGCTTAAACATTCTTGCAATCAAGGAATCAACCCTAGGAATTTTGCAGGGGGCAGGTTGCATACTCTAAATGAGCCTCGGCCTTACATGGGCGGGTCTCAATATGGGGAACACACAACATGCGGTGTCCCTTTAGTTTCCCGTTCAACACCCTTGAAGGGGTATATGCCTCAAAACAATAATTACATGCCCAAATGGGCAATCGGTCCAAAATAGAGCCCATATGAGGCAAGCACTGCCCTCCTTGTCATGCAGCCTTTCTTTTTCTCAAGCCACTGCCGGACGTGTGCAGCAATTCTGCGCTCTGAATAGTTTCCACCCACATGAGCGATTCACTTTATATGATCCAAAGCTGACGTCGAATTCAATACCGCGGAGGCAGTTAAACCTGTCACATGTCCGGTCAGTCGAATGTTCGAACAAAATTGAACTGTTTTCGCTGCCATGGGCTTAAGTTCTCTCCGTTGCGTTCTGCTCCCCTGCTAAAAGTGACTAACTTTTAGTGGGTTTCATGGGAAAACTCCTTCGTTGGCAAAAAGTTAAAGTCCTAACATCCAAGCAAAACCCACCTCTGTTCTAGTTGGAGACCCTGTGGGAATTCCGCGTGGCTTGTTTTTAGATTCACATTTTATCACTTCAGACAGACATACAGCCACGAGAAGACGAGCAATGCCTGACACCAGCGTCCCATGTCACGCACGCCATGTAAGCAAATATGGAATGGCCACAGAAGTTGCATGTTGCTTGCTCAAGGCTCGAACCGTACTAGCATCGTGCCCTGAAATGGGTCGGCATTGAGTCGCAAGTGACCATGTCTACAACAGACAGTTGGGGTTACTTGGCCAGTGTGTTTTCCAGAACATCTCAAGCAAAACAACTACAAACTATGCTGCAGTGCAGAACGCTCTGTTCCTTAACTGTAGCATTTCGCGAACGTACTGTATCCCCAACATGAAAACCCTCCCACCAACTAACATGGAAGTGCAAAAAGGCACTTTCCCAGAAAAAAGTAGTCTTTCTACAGGGGTCTGTGCACCATGTTTGCTGGTGGGAGGGTAGCCATTCACACCAATCAAGCGCAAAACCACCCTCTTGACAGTCGCTTTACCCGAAGCTCAGTGGTGAGTCTTTTTGGGAGGGTCTCCCTTTTTAGGTGGTTTTCACCAGGAAAAAAAGCCACAAGAGGAAAGCCGCGCCATTTTGGAGGGCTCCGACCTTTGAAAACACACGCAAGGTAATTACCAAGGCAACCAAGTAAGAACCCAGCTCTTTACAAGTAAGACCCCAAAAAAGTGCTCTTCCAGCCAGGGGGGGTCCTTTTTGCCACCTTTTGTGAGAAAATTGGCGACCTTTGAAAGGAATCCTTCACTACGAGGGGGTTGAACTATTTTCCACAAAAGGTAGCAAAAAGGACCCCCTGCTTCCAGCCATCTGGCGAGAAGAAAAAAAAGGGGGACGGGCCACCCACATGAAAAACCAAAGTGTTTTCACACGACCCCTCCGTTTGCTGAAGTCCCCCGGCAAAATGAGAAAATAGGTCCAGCAGTGAAATCAACTCCCTTTAAAACCAACAGGGGAAAACTAAAAATATTCATTTCACCAAATGGACGTGTACAAATTGGTCATTCTCCAACAAAGAAGCTAGTTTTGGAGAACCCACGTGTAAGGGACACACGCAAAGTTTACCCAAATGGAAGGACCTGAGGTCGACCTGCGCGCCCAAAATTCGCCGCGCGGCTCCTGCGCCGGCGCTCCATCCAGCGTTTGCAGCCAGGGTGCCGCCATCAGCACGGAGGAGCCTCGACTGGAGCTCGCGCTCGCCGAGCGCGTCCTCTTTTTTTTGGTTTCAACGGGATTTGGGGTTCCGTGGCTGAGGTTCCTTTTTAAGATCCCCCCCCTTTAAAAAAAATCAATGGGTGTGGTTCTCATCTTTTTGGGGGGTCCAACCCCCAAATCGCCCTGTTTAATTGCGGTTGCAAAACATCAGCCGAATCCCAAGCCAAGCCAGATGGGCAGAGTAAAGGGCTGGCAAACACGTCAACAAGCAGGCAGCCCGCATGTTTTTTTGTCAAAGGCCTCAGAGAGAATATGAGTGTTGATCAACGATTGCTGTCGCTGACACACTCCTTGTAGCCGTGCAGAGATAAGGTTACACGCTTCAGCAGTGCAGGCTGGGAGTACTCACCCCGATGCCAAACACGTTGTGTGAGTAGTTTCTTCACCTTGATTTTCAGAGAGGCCGCAAGGAAACCACAATTTCTAGGGTCCCCCTACTTTGAAGACACCCACACCCAAAAGTTGGCAAGGGAGGCCATAGTGTCCTTTTGGTTTGGAAATAGATGCCCCTGGTAGATGATTAAACCACCAGGTCCAAAACAACCAAAAAGGACACCTATGGGCCAGACACAACAGGGGTAACTTCCCCATTCTTTCCAGGGATCCGAATCTGTCTAGAAAACCACCAAACAAATTGGGGAAATGGCGATCGGTTTTTGAAAAGAACGATGGCTGAAAAGAATGGAAAAGGAATCAACTCCTAGAACAGATGTACTTTTGTGGAGGGTTCCTTTTTTTTGGGGGAGGGGGCAGGAATTGGTTTAGAGGGAAACCAAAAGGAATCAACCCCTAGAATAACATATAGACAGTGGCCTGAACTTCGAAGACCAAGGTTCAACCTTCCACGGCCTGGAATGAGGTCAACCGAGGTTTTGTGGGCTCTTCGATCCCCCGAAGGCGAACTTAAGGTGCCTTAGGGTTGCTCTCAAATTTCAGGGCCCCGTGTATATGTATATATATATAATACACAAAACACTATGTGTACGAAATGTGTATGTAGTATGCGTATCTAATATGCAAGCCGCAAACATCTACGCCAAGGCCTTGTGTGTGGGGTTCCTGTCTTGACTTTCAGGAAACCAAAAGACCAGCTTTCTTTTCGCCAGACCGTATGCTCCGAGGAAACGCAGATTCCTATTCACAGCTTCGCTTCGAAAGAGGGATGTGTCTTGTTTTAGGGAACCCAAAAGGGAGGTTGGCTTTTAAAGGGAAACCCCAAAGAAATCAGCACCCGCCATTTTGTGGGTCCCCCATTTTCAACCCAAATGGACCCAAAGGAAAAACAAGAAATCAGGTCGGTTCAAAGGCCCTTGGCACGGCACTTTTCAGCGAATCCAAGCAGCTGTACATCGTCTCAGCGCAGATCGGGTTCTCTTTGCCGCCGCCTTCCTGCAAGGGGCGTGCAAGAATTCTGGGGCCTGGACCTCTGTTCACGTCATCATGTGGGAGGTTCACGAGTGCCCAGACCTTCAGTCTTTGTTTGCTTTGTGTTGCAGGGTCTTTGGTTGTTCTTCCTTTCTTGGATTGCTGCTTTTTTTGCTTGTTTGTTTGCTTGCTTGGTTGTTTGTTTGTTTGTTTGTTTAATTGATTGCTGGGTTGTTGTTTTGTTTGCCTGTTTGTGTGCTTGATTGTTTGATTGGTTGCTTGATTGTTTGTTTGTTTGATTGCTTGGTTGTTTGCTGCTCATTCAAATTTGCGAAATTTGGGTCGGCCCATAACAGCCCAAAACTAACCGTACACCCCCAGTAATTTGGTCAGATCTGGCAAGAAGCTAGAGAAAGAGTCACCACGGTTGATCAAGGCAATTGTGTACCGCATGCCTCCTCCTACATGGCTTGTTTTTCATCTCTGCTTGGTCTGGACCGATGGTTGCAGTGATTGGCGGGTAGCGTTCAAGTACCCACGGCCCGCAGTGGAACGCGTCACAGGCGGTCCAAGTGTGGGGCAAGGCGCTGGCAATAGCTCGGACTTTGTGAGTCAGAGTCAAAACCTGGTATAAAAGTGGTCTACCCAGAACCATGCTTCAAGAATCAAGAAGGCGGCCGCAGCCATTTCTGGCCCTTGGGTTTTGTGACTCTGGTGGGAAAATGGAGCTGCAACTTGGGGATGCGTATTGAACAACGGGAAACACCCCTACAAACGAAGCCACTACCATCCCGGCATAAGCCGTGAGGATTCATTTTGAACAACCCAGCAAAAGGCCCCAGGCCGGCTTTTTTTATTGCTGCGTGCTACTTGGAGGCACACGCCCGAAATGACCACGGCAAACATTGGCCCTGCTGTTGTTGGATGTTCACTCTTGATTCTGCTGGAGAAAAATGCATATGGGGGGGGGGGCAAGTCCTGCCAAGAGAACAACCTTTAACCACATTCTCCAGTCCCTGGAGCAAACCACCATTAAAACAATGGGGGTTCATATAACCCCCAGTGTTTACCTAAAGATTGTCATCCAAATTGGGTCAACTATTCTTTTAATGGGGGTTGAACCCTAGGGCAGTGTTCAACTCAAGCTGGTTGCCATCGCAAAGGGCCCTTCTTGCGCTCAAAGTGGCTCGGCAAGCGCGAGCAGGTCTCGAAGAATAAGTGCCGCGACAACGGTGGCGCTGGAACTGCGGGATTTGACGTGTAAGGAGAAGCAAGGGCCGTGTGGCCCTCCCAAATAGCAAACAGTGCAGAAATCAGCCATCTCCTCCCCCCCCCAAAAAAAAAATGGAGATAATCTTTAACCTCCGAACTTGTGTTGGGGCAGCAGCGTGGTGTGACTGGCAAATTCCGATGCCACTCCAGCTAGCGCCTCCTTCCGCCGCTCGCTCGCCCACCCGCTTCGACCCTCCGAACTTCGCGGCAAGAGCTCCTTGAAGCGCAGCGCTTCGAGTTTGCAGCAGCCCCCCAGGAACAGCAGCTGCGGCAGCCCCGCGATGCGGTTGCACCTCTCGCCGTTTTCTAGGAAAGGAGCGCGAGAAGAAAAAAAAAGAAGAAGAAGAAAACAAAAAAAAGACGCCGAGGAAGGACGCTGGACGTGGGCTCGAAAACGTGTTTGATCGGTGCGAGAGGTCCCTGTTATTTGGGCGACATTTTCGTGGTGCCTGTTATTTGCCAATTGCCAGATTCAAACTGACTGTCCAGCCTTCACATAAACTAAAGTCAGATCAAGGGAATCCATTGCAAAACAAAGACAACTCGCGCAAATATCGTTTCTCCTCTCTGAACTCCGAATACTGGCAATCCGGCAAAAACCACATCACACGTCCAAGCCTGCTCCGGTGCTTGCCCACAAGCGGGTGCCTTTTTTCTGAGGCTACCCTTTTTGGGGTGATTTAAAGAGAACCAAAAGAACAAACACCACCATTTTTTGAGTTCCCCATATGCTGACACATGCCCATATGTTTCAGCAATCAGGCCACTGACAATAGCCATTTAAAGAGTAATTTGGGTGGGGGGGGGTTCCTATTTGGGTGTGTAATTGTGTTTTCAAAATGGTGGTTTTGCTTGTGGTTTCGCTTTGAAACGCAACCAAAAGTACACACACACACACTTAAACTCCAAATGGAGAGTGCTAATCTTTCGAGTACAACTGATGAGTCTCGAGTACAACTGATGAGTCTCGAGTATGATGAGCTTCGACTCGCATAACGCTTGGCTTCCCTGTAGCTACTTTAACAGGGACACCCAGAAGCAACGGCAGTTCAGGGGGGGGACCAAAAGGACATTCAGAACAACACAACCATCTCGGCAGGTACGTCTGACTGATCAGGTCAGATATCAGCGCAGGTCACGGCCCTCTTCGTTGGGTCACCGGTCGTGACTGCGGGTGACCCCCCTGCTGAGAAACCGAAAAGGTGGTGACAGGGCATTCTGTCACTCCGCACACACACGCCCCTCAATGAGGGGCGAGAAACACTTTTTCGGGGGGGAGAAGAAGCGCCCGAAAGACGGACGAAGACCCCAACAGAAAACAAACGGAGCAGGCACCCAAAAGAAACAGAAAGCCCCACGTTGGGTCTCCGCGGGCAAAACCCCAACCGAGAAACACGAAAAACAGGGGAACCCGAGTTTTAGGGTCACCGCCGAGGGCAAAAACCCCAAACAGCCCAGAAACCCTCCTAAACCTGGAAGACGACCACCACCGCAAAGTTGAAGACCGAGAAGAGGACCAGGCCATCCCTAGACGGGCGAAGAGGAAGAACAGGAAGTAGTTGGAAAAGGGGGGGGGGGAGGAAACGAAGAAAGGAAGAGAGAAAGAGAGAAAAAAGAAGGAACGAAAGAAAGAAAGAACGAAAGAGAGAGAGAGAGAGAGAGAGAGAGAGAGAGAGAGAGAGAGAGAGAGAGAGAGAGAGAGAGAGAGAGAGAGAGAGAGAGAGAGAGAGAGAGAGAGAGAGAGAGAGAGAGAGAGAGAGCGTATTTAGGGCGTCGCAACCGCCCGGGGGGAAAAAGAAACAGGGTGCGTATTTAGGGCGCCGCATCCCGCCCGGGAAGAAGGAAAAACGAAGAGAGAGGAGGAGGAGAGAAGGAGAAGGGAACAGGAGAAAAGGGAAGGAAACGAGAGAAGGGGAGAAGGAGGGAAAGAGGGAAAGAAAGAGAGAAAGAAAGAAAGAAAGAACGAAAGAAAGAAAGAAAGAAAGAAAGAAAGAAAGAAAGTAAGAAAGAAAGTGCGTATTTAAGTCGTATTTAAGGCGACGCATCCCGCCCAGAGAAACACGAGGACAAAGCCAATGCTCGAGGAAGAGGGCGTCGAATCCCGCAGAGGGGCCATGAGGAAGAGCACGATGAAGCAACGGTAGGGAACGAAGACGGCAAGCCAAACAGCGCGAGGGGACCGAGGACCACGAACAAATAGGCAAACAAGAAGAGGACGACGACGAAAAAGGCAAACAACGCGGCAGAGAAGAAGCCATCCCTAAACGGGCCAAGAAGAAGAACAGCAACACGCGGAAGACGGAAGGCCGGAAGAAGGAACGGGAGGAAGGAGAAGCCATCCCTAAACGGGCGAAGAGCAAGACGACGGACACGCGGACGACGAAGGTGAGGAGGGAGGGTGAGACGTCTCTATGATCTGACCGCTGTCTTCCTTTTAGTGAAACCTCGTTCCTGGTTAAATGTGAAATTCCGCTGTTCTATGATCAGCACGTTGAGGTCAAATTTTCCGACAGAGCCGGCCCGGGGTCACACAATGGGTACACCCGAGGATTCCCCACGAATGGGGTGTACACACTTAAACTCCAAATGGAGAGTGCTAATCTTTCGAGTACAACTGATGAGTCTCGAGTACAACTGATGAGTCTCGAGTATGATGAGCTTCGACTCGCATAACGCTTGGCTTCCCTGTAGCTACTTTAACAGGGACACCCAGAAGCAACGGCAGTTCAGGGGGGGGACCAAAAGGACATTCAGAACAACACAACCATCTCGGCAGGTACGTCTGACTGATCAGGTCAGATATCAGCGCAGGTCACGGCCCTCTTCGTTGGGTCACCGGTCGTGACTGCGGGTGACCCCCCTGCTGAGAAACCGAAAAGGTGGTGACAGGGCATTCTGTCACTCCGCACACAAGCGGGTGCCTTTTTTCTGAGGCTACCCTTTTTGGGGTGATTTAAAGAGAAACCAAAAGAACAAACACCACCATTTTTTGAGTTCCCCATATGCTGACACATGCCCATATGTTTCAGCAATCAGGCCACTGACAATAGCCATTTAAAGAGTAATTTGGGTGGGGGGGGTTCCTATTTGGGTGTGTAATTGTGTTTTCAAAATGGTGGTTTTGCTTGTGGTTTCGCTTTGAATCGCAAAACATATGTTGCCCTCCAAAAGTACACACACACACACCTGTTGACACACACACACAGAAAAAAAAGGAGAAAAAAAACGACACACACACACACACACGCACAAACACAGCGGTCACGGATGCACCTAGCGCTCACCCTTTGCTTTTTTCCTCGGTGCGCCTGAGGTCCAGGACCTTCAGCTCGTACTGCCGGCCCCAGAAGCTCTGAAGGCCTCGCAGGTCGGACTCGGAGGCTCGAGCCGAGCCGAGCCGAGTCCGGAGACGCGGACGAAAAACGCGAGCCACTCGGATCTATAAAAAAAAATGCGGCAAGGGAACTTGCCGCAGATTTTTTTGGGGGATATAGGTGCGACTTGTTTTTGGGTGGGTAGGCCTTTTGGGGGTTGGTTTAACTGGAAACAGGAAACCACTTGTTTTTGGGTACACCTATTTTGAGGCAAACCCGTATGGTGGGAAGCATCCAACATGTCCCTTGCAAAATGCATATGTGATGTGCTAGGAATCATCCAATCACAGCCCCCGCTCCATTGCGCGACGGCTCACTAAGCAGATCCCGATCCGCCCTCCCTTCCCCCCCCCCCCCCCGCAACCCGAGCGGCACGCCTTCCAGGGATTGGACCTGGTTGTAGGCGACCCGCCTTGGAACAGCTTGGGCCCGACGAAATGGATCCGTTGGGCCCGGCGTGATCTAACATGCGCCCCATGGCAGTCCTCACCCGAAGGTGACATTCGGCGCATGCTGGTGGACCTTCGGCGTGTTGAATTGAATCCGCAAAATACAAGCCACGCAGCCCTTGCCACCGGGTGAGAGTGGCGTTGCTTAACAAATGCCAACTTGCTTCTGCGCCACATTACAACCCCGCCACCCCCCCCACCCCCCACCCCCCTAGCGAGCAACAATCAGTCCGAATTTCCAACCAGAGGACGATTGGCCCGAAAGCATTTTTCCCCAAGCGCTTCCCATCATGTGCTTTTCCAGCCGCGGAGACGCCCTTTTACATCGATGCAACAGCTTCTGCAAAGCAGGCTCGTGCAACTTGGCCCTATGTAACTTGACTCTATGCAACTTGGCTCTGTGCAACTTGGCTCTGTGTAACTTGGCTTTGTGCCACTTGGCTTTGTGCAACTTGGCTCTGTACAACTTGGCTCTGTGCAACTTGGCTCTATGTAACTTGGCTCTATGTAACTTGGCTCTATGGTAACTTGGCTCTATGGTAGCTTGGCTCTATGGTAAATTGGCCCTATGTAACTTGGCTCTATGTCACTTGGCTCTATGTAACTTGGCTCTGTGCAAGTTGGCTCTGTGCAGCTTGGCTCTGTGCAACTTGGCTCTATGTAACTTGGCTCTATGTAACTTGGCTCTGTTGTAACTTGGCTCTATGGTAACTTGGCTCTATGGTAAATTGGCTCTATGTAACTTGGCTCTATGTCACTTGGCTCTATGTAACTTGGCTCTGTGCAAGTTGGCTCTGTGCAACTTGGCTCTGTGCAACTTGGCTCTGTGCCACTCGGCTCTGTGCCACTGGGCTCTGTGCCACTTGGCTCTGTGCCACTCGGCTCTGTGCAACTTGGCTCTGTGCCACTCGGCTCTGTGCCACTCGGCTCTGTGCCACTGAGCTCTGTGCCACTCGGCTCTGTGCCACTTGGCTCTGTGCAACTTGGCTCCGTGCAACTTGGCTCTGTGCCACTTGGCTCGGCGCAACTTGGCTCTGTGCGACTTGGCTCTATGTAACTTGGGAATGTACTTCGCGCGCTATTTTGTACTTAAAAGTTGCGATTGTCCAGCCGGAGCTGCGGGAATGTGCTCCGCGTACTACGTTGTACTTAAAAATTGCGATTTTCCAACCGGAGCTGCAGGAGCACGCTCCGCGTACTACGTTTGTACTTAAAAGTTGCGATTTTCAAGCCGGAGCTGCGGGAGCATGCTCCGCACACTACGTCTGTACTTAAAAGTTACGATTTTCCAGCCGGAGCTGCAGGAGCACGCTTCGCGTACTACGTTTGTACTTAAAAGTTGCGATTTTCAAGCCGGAGCTGCGGGGGTGTGCTCCAGGTACTACGTTTGCACTTAAAAGTTGCGATTTTCCAGCCTGAGCTGCGGGAGCATGCTCCGCACACTACGTCTGTACTTAAAAGTTACGATTTTCCAGCCGGAGCTGCAGGAGCACGCTCCGCGTACTACGTTTGTACTTAAAGGCTGCGATTTTCAAGCCGGAGCTGCCGCGGACCAGGGGGGAATCGAACCCGCGACCGCGGGATTGCGAAAGCAGGCGCGCAAACCACGAGACAACTTCCAAAGGCCGTTTCGCGAGCAAGAATATTGCACGGCGCCACAGCGAGAGCGCTTCGACACGCACAATCTCCGCAGAGGGTTCGCCGAGACTAAGACAAATTCGCACGGCGCCACAGCGAGAGCGCTTCGACGCGCACGATCTCCGCAGAGGGTCGCGCGCGCACCGCAGAAATCGTAAAAAGTCCTCAGTTTTTGAACCTCGACCACGCGAATCTCCGCAGAGGGTCGCGCGCGCACCGCAGAAATCGTAAAAAGTCCTCAGTTTTTGAACCTCGACCACGCGAATCTCCGCAGAGGGTCGCGCGCGCAGCAGAAATCGTAAAAAGTCCTCAGTTTTTGAACCTCGACCACGCGAATCTCCGCAGAGGGTCGCGCGCGCAGCAGAAATCGTAAAAAGTCCTCAGTTTTTGAACCTCGACCACGCGAATCTCCGCAGAGGGTCGCAATCCCGAGCGACGATCAAACTCCCGCCCCGGCGCCTTAGAAACCTAAACTAACTTACATAGCTGCTAACGCCGAAGCTCTAAGCTCTACCTAACCTTGGCTCTATGTAACTTGGCTCTATGTAACTTGGCTCTATGTAACTTGGCTCTATGTAACTTGGCTCTATGTAACTTGGCTCTATGTAACTTGGCTCTATGTAACTTGGCTCTTGTAACTTGGCTCTGTAACTTGGCTCTATGTAACTTGGCTCTTGGCTCTGTAAACTTGGCTCTAACTTGGCTCTAACTTGGCTCTATGTAACTTGGCTCTATGTAACTTGGCTCTATGTAACTTGGCTCTATGTAACTTGGCTCTATGTAACTTGGCTCTATGTAACTTGGCTCTATGTAACTTGGCTCTATGTAACTTGGCTCTATGTAACTTGGCTCTATGTAACTTGGCTCTATGTAACTTGGCTCTATGTAACTTGGCTCTATGTAACTTGGCTCTATGTAACTATGTAACTTGGCTCTATGTAACTTGGCTCTATGTAACTTGGCTCTATGTAACTTGGCTCTATGTAACTTGGCTCTATGTAACTTGTCTATGTAACAAGGGCTCCGCACGGAAGAACCCTTCGCGATGCTTTCGGGAAAAAAAATGGCTCTGAGGGTCTCCATCTGAACAGATGGGCCAATCCAAAACACCCAGGCAAACGGGGCCGAATCCTTTACCTACCCAAGGATCAGGGATCGCCATCTGAGTTGCCCCTTGTTGAAACCCAGAGTTTCAAAAGCTGAGATGACCTTTCTGGAACCTTGACTACAAACCAAATCAGCTGGAACACCATTCCAAAGGTTGAGTCCATAGGTGGCCTTTTGGAAAAAGAGATGGGTTTCCCTGGTAAATAAGGCATGCCAGTGGAACCCATACATTTTTCTCTGACTTTTCACCAAACTAACCGATCAAAAGGACACCCTTGAAAAAAAGGGAACCCTTTTTGGGGAAGACCATTTTTAGTGGGGCAGCCACTTAAAAAAAAAAAAAAAGGAAAAGGGTGCCACTGAACGACTGAGTAACAAGGTCCTCCAGTAGAGAGGTTAGAATAAGAGTCCCTTTTTTCTTTTTTGTCTATTTCAGTAGGGGAACCCTCCCAACCAAAAAAGAAACAGTAAAAGAAACGGCACCAATCGCTGGGAGACCTAGGTGAAGTCCCGTCGACTCGCTTTGGCAAGGCAAGTGAACCTAACCTCAGTTGTTCAGTGACCCTGGAGAAAAAAAGGGGAACCCTTTTTAGGGAAGACCATTTTTAGTGGGGCAGCCACTAAAAAAAACCAAGCAACGTGAGCCTCACAGCCCCCGCCCGCTTTTTTCCATTCGAAGCCGCAGCTCCCGCAGGGCCCGGAGCGGCTGGAGCCCACTGAGACCCTGAGGCTTCGAGAGGACGTGCCAAAGGGTGGCAGAAATACCTCCATTTGCATAAGCCCCCTGGAAAAAGAAACATATCCAGAAGTGAAATCGATTCCCTTGAAAACCAACAGGGGGAAAAAAAGAAATACAAACATTTCAGCAAATGGAAGAATAAGAAACATACCACTCCCACCAATTAATATGGCCATGGTTCAAAGCCAATGGGATCCCATTTTGGGGTTTTCGGTGCACCACCCATCTTAGAACCTATTTTAGTGGGGATTGGGATGTTCACTGGGGAGAAGGGGTTTTGACCCATGGCCAATATGGAATCTGACGTTCGGGGGTTGGACCATTTTCCTTGTTTTCGGGACACCCTGTCAGGTTCCATGTGAAAAGGGTGGGAGGGTATCCATCTCCGTGTTGTGTCCTTTGAGGAATCCGGGAGATGTGAACTCCATGGGCGATTTAGCACCCAGTTCTAGGTTTGGCGGATTGAACATTAATGCCGAGAAGGATTTCTCAGTCACTAATGGGACGGATGCAGAGAATCTGATGCGCGCAAGCAATCTCCAAGTTGGCTCGCCCACCCAACTGAAGAAGATGTGCTGGGTGGTCGTTGAACCAATTATCTGGCAAAGAGTGCCTGGATCTGCTGGGAAGCACGATAAACTGCAACAAGACACAAGCGCGCATGAACCACAGAAGGGCCCCTTCCCCCGCAACAACATCCTCCAGTGCAGGTGGGAATGTTAGATTCAGCTTGTTCCATGGCCTTGCTTTCCTCCACCTGCGGGTCAGCGAGTGCACCAGAGCGGCTGGCACTGAGCGGCTCCCCGCAGTGGCAACATTGAGTTGTGGGTGGGGGACACCAAACCTGGGTCTCGGTTAGCCATCAGTGCTTTCCTGTTCTCGGCACCGGATACTGTAGTTTGTGTCAGATGCCACAGCTGGTTGTTTGTGACTACATAAGAGGTGCAATGTTGTCAATGTTGATTTCCATTCGATTGAACCGTGTTCCACTTGACTGGAGTACCCCCCCCCTTTCCCAAGATGGCTGTGGGTAAAAACACAATGGTACCATTTGGGGTAGGTGCACCACCCATCTTAGTCCATTTTAGTAGGGATTGAATCGGATGTTCACTGGGGGTACGATTTGGATGTTGACCCATGGCCAGATGGATAAAACCAAAAGAACAAACATCAAGGCAAAAGTTGGACTTGAGGCTCTCCCCCCAAAGCATGGAACAAACATAGAATGACATGCCCCCCCCCCCTCTCCCCGCCCAAATCATTAAACCAATCAACAAACTCTCAAAGATATGGCTATGAATTTCAATGGTTGGAAACCCCTGAAAAGTGCTGAGTGGACATGAATCTCCACCGAATCCTGGTGTCCACCAAAGGGCTTTTTTTTATCAAAATTCACCCCCATAAGGCCTGAGTCCAGTTCCGTCTGCCTGCAGCTGGTTGCAAGAGAGGTCCAGCAGCTTCAGCTGGCCTTGCTCTTGGAAGTGCTCACACCTCGCGAATCGGTCCGAAGTCCGGCTCCCGCGTGGCTCCACCCTGGCTTTAGTTTTATGAGTGCTATCATTCTATCCAGGTCCTCCAGTGGAGAGGTTAGAATAAGGGTACCCTTTTTTTCTGTAGTCTATTTCAGTAGGGGAACCCTCCCCCCAAAAAGAAACAGTAAAAGGGCACCTAGCTGGGGGACCCAGTTATAGCCGTGACTTTTTCCTGGGCGCTTTCGGGGCTCAGACCTGAATGGTCGAGCATCACCATGGTGCTTTCGTCAAGAGAATAGCTCTCAGTGGACTCAAGTAGATGTTGCGCTGACAGGGGAACCCCCAAACAACTTGTTGGTGCTCAACAGGGAATGAGGGAATGACCCCCATAAACCGTCCAACTGGTGGTTTCCTTTCTTCGGGAATCCCCCGGTTCATTCCCACATTCCCCACCGATTTCGCACCGATCGCAAGACAAGTACCAAGCTTCTTCACACACGGCCGTGACCGCCCAGGCGGAGCAGCGCTGAACAATTCGCCCAGCAGCCCCTAAGTGGGAAGTTAACGGTACATAACCTTCCATTTGCTTAAGCCGCCGAGAAAACATAAGAATATGGCCAGTAGTGACAGATTCCCTTTAAAACCAACAAGGGAAAATAAACAAACTATTCTTAAGCAAATTGAAGTAACGGTACATAACCCATTTTCTGAGTTCAACAACCCCCAGCAACACTCAACATGAGCCTCAGAAACCAGTACCACACTTCGCGAGGCTCCGCCCAGATTCTTAGGTGGAGCTACCCAGAAGCGAGCGAGCGCCTCAGGCTGGTGATGCAATTCGCGGACAGGATCAACTCCTGGTCCGGTCGAGCTCCGACCCCAACCGGGGCTGCAGTTTTCGGGGAGATGGGGACTGCGCCAGCCGGCGGAGCAGCGGATCCTGATATTTGGCTATGAAGTGGGTGGACACAAATCCCCACCGACTTCTCATGTCCACCAAAGGGTCCCCAATCAAAATTCATATGCCACCTTGCTTTTTTCTCAGACTAACATCAGACTCCGACACTACCCGCGAAACTTTACGCCTCGAACGTCCTCCCGGCGCGCGCGAGACTCCGAGGAGCGAGGAGCGGTTTTCAGCCGCCGTCCTCCAGGCGCGCGAAGCGGCCCAGCCCGGCCAAGTCGCTGATGCGGTTCATGTGCAAGTTCAAGCGCCGGGGCCTGGGTTCAGGTCGTGTCTGGTGCCCATGTTCAGGTCGTGACATGGAGAAAATGATCCTTGAGAGGTGAGGAGATGTGAGGAGAAAAAGGTGAAGCCGAAGATGAAAATCCCGAAGGGGCCCCGCCCCATTGGTGTGCCCTCAGTTTTGGACCAGCCGCGTCTGGCTTGGCATTCGGCCAAGGGTCCAGGGGAATGGGAGCAAAGCACGGGGGGAAGGCGGAGCTTCTACTGGTACCTTCCCCATTCTTTCCAGGAACCTCCGGAAACCCGGGGGAAATGTCTGGTGTTGGAAAAGAACGATGCTTGAAAAGAATGAAAAATCACACAAAATGCCACCGGCCTCACGTGCGTAAAGTGCAACCACGACAACTTGCAGGTCTTCATTTGAGGGCTAACTGGACATCAGGGATACCGACATCAGGGATACCTCGCGTCCACACGGACCCCGGCAACTAGAAAGCCCCTTTCAGAGACAAGTGGTCCGAGCCACCACCACTCCCCGGCCATGGAGCGGGTGGCCTCACAAAACAGATAATTAATGTTATATCAACCTATTTTTATTAATCACTTTTCGAGGGGCCCCCACCCTATGAAGAAACTAGGGCTGATTATGGGGTCAACCTTCGCATGGTTCAAACAGATCTCAGGCTGTGAAGCCCGTGGCTGCATGGATTTTAGGCCGAGGGGCGGAGGGCCCTCCTCCACCTCCTCCAGGGAGGAGATGCCGACGCCCAGTAGGTCCAGCGCCATTTTGGCCGCAAAAAGACGCGAGGCCAGCCATGGATGGGGATGGGGGAGGTCCGGTCCGGTTTGGTTGCATGGTCTTCTCCTGGCCTTCTGGATAGACGCAAGGCCATGCGGGTCCTTGAAAACCATTTCCCTGGCCCTCTGGTGGCTTCATCATGACATTCTCTGGGTCAGTCGGGGTTTTGTCAGGTCGGTCTCTGGTCAGCGACTGGCTCTAGGATGGTAACCTTGGCTATGAGCTCAACAGTTGGCTGGTCAGTGGTGTCGTCATGACCTTCTCGAAACAAAGATCTGAAAGCCTAGGTATCCTGCAGGTCCCGTCAGACGTCCTTTTTCTTGAGGGCTTTCTGATATCAGTTCCATTGGGAGTGGAAAACGGGGTGACGAGTGACCAAGGGTCTTACAGGGCTTGGCTCTACGAACCTCTGTTTGGGGGAGCCGTTCCGCCGTTATTGTTCTCACAACACATCGGGTGCAACATGCTGGAGTCACAGAGGTAAGACAACGAGCAACCTCCTTTTCCGGGGCTGGCAAAGTTGAGATGCAACTCGGCAGCACAGTCTGAGCTCTTGAGCTGTCACACATGGCCCCACGCTGCCATCCAGAAAGGTGCCTGTTACAAAGTGAGAATTCCGGTTCTGAAAGGTAACGAAGGCCAAACACAACCCTTTGACCTTTCGGGGGGCAGCCTTGGCACCTCTTGGTCACGATTGCGTGCATTGCAACACTTTGCCACCTAGAAACATGGGTCCTTCATCCTGGGTGAATGGTCTTTGCTTGTAAGACGCGCCGTTTTCCGCCGCGCCAGCCAGTCGGGCACTGAATGTTCGCGGCAATGCATCCGGGGCTACAAAACAGGCCTTCCTTCCAAAGCACGGCCGCACGAAGGTCTCTTGAGGTAAAGCTTCAATGACTGCGCAGGTCTTTGCCGTTGTTTGTAGACCGATATATTTTGCCTAGGTCCTCCAGTCCAGAGGTTAGAATAAGGGTACCCTTTTTTTTCTGTAGTCCATTTTAGTAGGGGAACCCTCCCCCCAAAAAAGGGTAAAAGGGCACTACTGGGGGACCTAGCCAATGTAATCCAATGTTTTTTGGGTCAAGGCGAGCCCCAATGGAAGGCCTGGTTCCCAGAAGCCATGCCGGCTGTGCTCTGTGACATGCGCCTTGGCTCTCCGCGACGAGGCACTTTGGCCAAGATCCAGGGTCACGCCACCGCTTCACCTCAAATGACTCATGGGGGGGTGCATTTTATGTTTGATGGGAGATAACCTGGGGAAAAAAAACGCAGAAAAAACACAAACATATGGTAGGACATATTTTTTCATGGGCCCCACAAAGGTCAACCACATTATCATATTATTGCGGCAACAACCAAAGGAAAAACACGTAAGAACATCGCCCAAGCTTCCAGACATCCACTCAAGTCGGCCGTCTCCATGATATGCAGCTTTGCGGGGACCGATTGGCTGGTTGTCAGTGATACCGGCAAGGCTCGTTCAAGGCGGAAGCCCAAATGCACTCGTGCCCCACCGGAGCACAAAGCTGATAAACTTGACTTGAGCACCGCCCACGACCCCTTGACCTTGGCTTTTTCTACCAGCACGCTTCGAAAGGTGTGTGTTCGTGTGATTGTGTGTATATATATATATACATATATATATATATATGTTCTATACATATATATATATATATGGATTTCGCTGCAGGTAGTCGAACCATCTACTATTTTAAAATGGGCACACAACCTAAACTCAATAATCGATGCTCCCCCCCCCACCCCCTTCCCCCACAGTGCTTTCCCCAACGGCAGGGACACAATCAAGCCAAATCGATGCGAAAAGCGCCTGCTTGACTGTATGGTTGTCAAATGTTCGTTTAGCCTTAGCCACCGGAGGTTTTAGTCCGCGTGTCCATCTGGGTGTGGGTCAAAAATGGGTACCCAAAATGGCTTGCCCTGGTAAATGGAAGCATGAGCTAAAACCTGCTGTCCATATCCCTGTGGTGACCGATTTTGACTCATACCCATGTGCTGGATTCCGTTTTACGTGCCCCATTCGCGCGCCCAATTCGCTCGGCTCGACTGAGGGCCAAACGTTAGGCCACCGCCGTTGGCTCAAGAACCTGACACGGGTCTCACCTACACCCTGCAAAAAATGAGTCTGGGCAAAAAATATGCCGTGCGCTCGTCTTAAAATAGCCGGGGGTCCCCCAAACAAGAATTTTCCTTTTAGTCTCCGTTTTGAATTCAGCCTCACAAATATGGCTCACCAACCCCCGCGCGCTCTTCAGTGAGACCTTGTCTCCTTCTTGCCCCCACCGCTCTTTCCCGCTGAGGCCACAATTTGATTTTTGCGCAGACTGGTCGGCAAAGGCTTGCTCACCCAAAACAAAAAGACTTGTCGTTAGACATCCCTTGCTCCGCTGGTGGCCCCTAAGTCCCAAGTCCCCCCCCCCCCCCCGGCTCATTTTTGGAGCGGGTGGCCGGTTTCTAGTGAACCGCACCCGGTCTGCTCTGCGCTTCTCTTTTTGAAACCCCCCAAAGCGGCTGGCCCCGAGTTCTCTCCGGAAGCCCGCAAAAAAAGTCACCCGCCACCGCCCCGAAATCCGAGCTCACAAGTGGCCGTCCGCTTGCCAAGAAAAACCCAGCCACGTGTCTCTTACTTACAAAGCGGTTGAATGTGAACAGGGGCGGTTTCTTGCACGCTACGTTTGGATGGCCCAACAAAGAAACCAACCACCAGGGGTCCCCAATTTGGAGAAACACCCATATTGTGTCGTAGCCTTCTCTTGTGGCTAGGATTTGCTCAGCTTGGAAGACCTCGGGTTCTGTGTGTGATGTCCAGCTTAAACATGACCCCAAAGGACATTGGCACATTGGCAACCAACAGACGCTGTTTGAAACCACCAAAATTGACGTGTTGGACATCATGTACACTGGAATTCATTTATTGGCGTTCCACGCGTTAAAGCTTACCATCGTCCCGATTCTTCATTCCTTTGTCCAGGGAGACACCCCTCCCTCCCGCTGAGGCCAGATCCTCTTTGTCAAAGTGGCCTATCGCAGGAATGTGCTTGGCTGATCTGGGCGTGTCTTTTTTAAGGGACCCCCCCCCAAATAGGTGTTCTCCTTTTGGCTTTCCTTACAACACCGGTATCCTCAAAAACGGACACGCCCATCCGTGTAAAGTTTTTCTCATAGGTCGCACATGATGGCCAGCTTCAAGGTGTCTGGGCTGTTCAAAACGGAGGGTTGGCCAATCCTAATCCATAATCCCTATTTTTAAAAAAAGGGGACCGGTTCCTTGCGCAACCCCAGGGAAGGATTAAGGATTACCTTTGAACAGCCCAGTGTATGCTCTCGTCGTCTGAGCGGAGTTGCCAACTGGGTGTATTTCCAACTAAATAGAGGAACTCTCAAGCTGGTTGGTTCCATGCTGGCTTACAATTTTTAAAGCAACCAACGAGTGTTTCTCAGAAAAAGGACACTGCCCACTTCCTGTGCATTCATTGAGCCACAGTGTGCAAGCCACTGTTAACCAGAAACGGCTACCTTCAAAAAGGACACGCCAATATAGCCCCCCCAAAAAAACAAGGTTCCTTTGGGTGTGTCTTTCTTTCAGGTACCTTTTTGGGGATGGTGTTTCAAGGGAAAGTCTCCATCAAAAAAAGGAGAAACAAAACAACAACTCCTGTAGGTTCCTCTCATTTTAACTCCTGAAAACCCGGTGCAGGGGCCAATGATGTGATGCCAAATTTCTTCGACCCTTGTCTGTCCTGTATGAGAAACCAATGGTTTCAACAAGGATCTGCGGCAATGGTTTGCGACTGGAATTCCTTTTTCCACGTCAGAATCCCATTTCGAGACACCCGGGTCCATGTGGATACCCGTGCTTTTCGGTTTCAAACGGAAACCACCAGGAAAACCGAAGCCATTTTGGTGGGATGCCCTGAAAAAAGGGCCGCAAGGAAAACCGGACATCGGCCCTCATTCGCCCAACCCTGACAAAAAAGCCCCCTGCTTTGGTTGGTTTTACAGGGGAACCACAAGGGAAACCTCCATTTTGCCAAAACAACACAAGGAGGACCAGACATCGCAATTTTTGGACTTTCGGTGCCCTTGGCGCAACCAACCAGAAACCGAAGCGCCCCGAAGCGCCGCGAAGCGCCCCCCCTCCCCCCCCAAAAACCTGACCTCCGGCGTCGCCGTCCAGCACAATGCTGTCACCATCCCAGGCCGACAGCACCGCCTACAGTCTGACCGCGGAAGGGTCGCACCGAGGTCTGATCCCGTTCATTGCAACCTGATCCCGTGGAGACCTCCCCCTTGGAATTTTTCAAGACAACCACCAAGCGCCAAAAAAAAAGTATGACCTCCCCTTTTGAGACATCCCCTTTTGAGACTTTTGCCCTCCATTTGCTTCTTCGTCCCCCGGAAAACATGAGCACATATGTCCAGTGATGGATTCTGTTTAAAACCAACTTGGGAAAATGCAAAATATCAGGCAAAGACACGGGACAAATCCAAATCCAAAACCAAACCGAAAATGTGGAACTCCAAGGACAACACAGTATGGATGAGATGTGGGACAGATGCAAAGTCGATCAAAAAATACTGTTATCCCTAGCTGGACCGCATTGTAATATACGCAAGCTGCGACCATGTCCGAAAGGAGCAGTGGAACCGATGCGTAGATTCGGATGCACTGCGGGTGAGGGCTTGAAGAACTGAATGCTCGCCCTCATGAAACAGTCCTCCGATCACCGACAATGCCCCTTGACCAAAGAAAACGGTCCAGTATGAACAGTTGACACTGGTCTCGCCTTGCACTTTGAAGGTGAGACACGAAGAACTGACACATGAATAGCTATATTGTGAAGCATGGGGGCGACGTCATAGGCATGTCTACATTGTGAGGTCAGCATCAGGAAGAGGAACATCCTGTATTCAAACCCAAACACCTCCCGGAGGTTGCGGCAAACAGAAGTGAAAAGGTGCGCACCAAAAGCACAAGATTGCCAGACCCCCCCGCACCAC